CTTAATAACCATAATTAACACAGAAAAGATAATAATTAAATCTTTAAATACATACCGTATATGCTCTATTAATTACCCTCTCTCGAATAATTACCCCCCCCCCTCTATTAATTACTCCCTTCAGCGAGAGGTTGAAACAATAATTACCTAGGGTAATTATTAGAGCATATACGGTAAGTATTATGTTAATTATAGAAACAAATAAAAACCGCTGTTATTCATTTAAATCTCCTTGATGCAATCATTACAAATTCTGATAAAATGCGTAATTTTTTATGTAAAAATGATATTACAAAAATAAAATCTATATTATTTGAATTAATGCAAGCGCCTAAATTAATTATGTTAGAGAATTTACATCCAGAGGTTTTGAAAATAGGTAAAGTTTTCGACACTTTTTAGGTTCATCAAATAGTGATGCTTTCTGGTTCCTTAAACTTCTAAAATCACAAAATATCAACCCTATTGATAAATTTCTGGCTTTGTTCGAATCATATCGACGACACGAACCATCGAGACATGTTCTATAAAAATGTTTATTTCGGGTTTTGATCCAATTTCGTGATCTGAAGGTTCATTCCTAATTCAAAATAACCGGCAGATTGAATTTGGGTTAAATTAAGATACTGAAATATAAAGATAATTGATCTAATTTCTTTTTACTTACCGTATTTTCTCTAATACTGCCCCATGGGCTGGATTTTTCAACTATTCTCCAGAATGTGGCTCTATTAGGGGGTGGGGCTCTAATTGAGGGTGGGGCTCTAATTAAGGGTGGGGCTCTATTAGAGAAAATACGGTATTTTCATTTTAAATATAGATCAAATGAATACAGAAGCTCGATTATATCTTTATGCTATTTTTGTAACAACTTCGATTAATTCCGACGTGTCGCTGGGTGCGAAATGTAGATTAACCGGGCCTTTATTGTACGATAAAATTAAGAAAAGTCTTGCCAAGCTTAAAGAGGAATTGGGAGATGCAAAGAAGGTAAAATACTTTAAAAATAAATAAATTTGGAGTAGGGCGGTACTTCGATCCAAACGATTTTTTCAGGACCAATTAAAAGAAAAAGTGAATCACCGTTCCGGTAGCATACATATTTGTTAAGCGAAGCGCCTAACAATAACTGCTAGAAGGTCTTAAGTCTCGTGTTTTTTAGAGGTTTCGTAACTCTATTTTGCCACGAGACTCGAGATATTTTCAATCTATTTTAGAAAAAAATGTCGAAAATTTGGGACTATTTCAAGATTTTAGAGTTAGGAAAAAAGGAAGAAATTTTGCCCTTTGGTCTTTCAAAATTCTTAAATTTTCGCCTGCGGCACTGAAAACGGAAGATGGATAAAGTTGGTCAAGCGGGAAATATCTGTGTACCTGAAATTGTAAATATAAAATTGTAAATATCGGGGTAATTCTTGCGTTCGTACCCCCCCTCCTTTTTCCTTCCTCAAAGTATTAAAAAATGGTCGGTCTGATATCAGATTATAGAATTCATCGAGCTGTGTCGAATGACACCAAAATCAACCCCAGGTCTTAACTTTGGGCCGAGATACAGTCAAAAAACCAGCGTAAAGCGCTGGTTTGTCAAAAGCGTCTCTTCTACTACAATAGGATTACTTTATGTCATAACTTTGTCAAATCTTGTTCGATTACGTTGATTTTTATGTCATTCGAATCAGCTCGACAAGCTCTTTCGAATGAGCTATTATTTGTTTAATAGAATTTTTATCCCAAAAAATCAGCTTGATCCCCCCTATTATTTTTCAATTTTCCGGGGTCTGTATCTCGGCCCAAAGTTAAGACCTGGGGTTTATTTTGGTGTCATTCGACACAGCTCGATGAATTCTATAATCTGATATCAGACTGACCATTTTTTAATACTTTGAGGAAGGAAAAAGGAGGGGGGGTACGAACGCAAGAATTACCAATATCGGTGCTTTACAATTTTATGTATGAATTGTTTTGAAAATAATATTTAATATCTCGTATCTCGGGAAATCTTGTATTTTTTGAGAGATGCCATACATATCTCGTTCTAGTATTTTTTTGAGAATCTCGTATCTCGTAAATCTTGTGTGCACCTTTGTTGAGTACCTCTCTTACTATAGTTAAAATAATTTAGATTAAAGTATTATCAAGCAAAAAAATCATTCATTATTAATAAATTTTAAATAAATAGTTAATTCCTGCCAATTCTTCAAAACTAGAAGTTCTTTTTGAACGTTTTAAATGGCTTAAGTCAAAACTTTTTGCTGAAGAGGATTCTCTTTGTACTTATAAGAATAGTTGTTTAATGGTTAATTTTATTCGATTGGCTGCACCAAGCGAATTTTCGGAATTTAATGAAAGTATTTTAATTGAAACTAGAATATTTACTGAAAATGAAATAAGAAAATGGGATGGGCATGAATGTGAAAATAATGAAGAGAAGCAAAGTGTACTATTCTGGCAAATTGTAAAAAATTTTGAAATTATTTTTTTTCTTTTAATTTTGGAAGAAATACACATTAAATTTTATAAAATTTTAAATTTAACCAACAAAATTTTAAAAAGAGTTGTATTTAGAAGTAGAGTAAGTCGAGTTCGAGCGAGTTCGAGTTACTCGACTCGACCGCTCGGGTTTTTTGCGTAATTACTCGACTCGGAACTCGGGATCATAATACTCGGATTACTCGAGCTCGGAAACTTTTAGTAATTGGATTACTTTTCGTTTAAATGTTAAAAAAGATTTACCTAAATATTGGGAAGAATTGTGAATAAAAGTTTTTTCCCAATTACTCGGTACTCGACTTTCTCTATTTAGAAGTAGGGTTGGGCGGGATCGGGAAACATTAAATCTCGATTTTGATTTTTCAATCCCAATTCGGGATCGGGACTGGGATCGGGGTTATCATTTCAAATCCTGACCCCGATTTTGGTCAATCTCGATCCCGCAGTCGGGATCGGTATAAAGATCATTATTCCAAAATCCCGATCCCGATTTTATATCGAAATCACGATACCACCCAACTCTATTTAGAAGATATCGGACTGGGAGTATCGAACGAGAATCGTACTAGATCTTGAAAAATATCGATCTCGATAAAAAGATTTTTGTTCGAGATCACGTCTCGGTACGGTCTCTAATATTTATTATTGGACGTGTTTAAAAATAATTGACAACTGTATTTTAATACAAAATATTTTAGATGCTTCTTGAGAAAGAACATCACAACTTTATGATAAATAATTTGGAGAGAATGGATTTTGTAATGAAGTATCCCGATAGAAGGAACAAAATTAACAATTTTTTTCATAATATGGAATGCAAATTTTTCGATCAAAATATTAAGTTTTTAATTAAATTAAAAAATGCTGTGCTAGTACGCCTCATGTTAGGAATACAGCTCTGATATAAATTTAAATTTTAAAGAAAAATTTCGGAAATATACAAATTTAAAAAAATATAACCTTACAAGCTGGAAATATATCCATTCTAAATTTCGGACTAATGTTGGATATTATAAGTTTTTAAACCGAAAATTTTAATATTCTTTGCCAGAAAGTAGTGTTTTTAGAAATTTTATAAAGAGGAAATTTTTAAAGAAAAATCTTTTTTAATCCCTCCAAAGCAAAACCTTTATTAACTAAGAATTGAAAAGCGGGAGGCGAAACACGGGAATACCAGTTAATAGTCGGTATTGTCCAACCCTTTTTTGAATTACAAATCTCTCGCTTGCATCTCTCGCTTAATTTACTCAATTCATCCTTACCTATTTTTTTAATTTTAGCTTTTACCAACAAAATAAATTTTTATCAAAACATAATTGAAATGTTCAACGAAAATGAATTGATTGCAGAAAAAAATAGAATAGCAGCAATTATATTTGCTTTATCACGTTGGATTACTTTTCGTTTAAATGTTAAAAAAGATTTACCAAAATATTGGGAAGGATTTTTTAAGTCTAAAAGAACTAAATTTTGGTTTCATGAGTTATATGATTATATCTTTACGTTCGAAGATATAAAACAATTTGATAGGGATATGCCTATGATAAAAATATTAGCTGGGATTAAAGCTGTAGCAGATGGAGAGTTAAAAATAGATGACGGAAATTTGGATCAAATGTAAATTTGTCAATTTTTTTAATTAAAAAATGTCGTTGGTTCTCAGTATTTAATAACCAACCCTAAATTCGGCATGCTTCCCAAGAAATTTTTAAGGGTGTATCTTATGTATAGTGAGTATGTATTCTGGACTGTTTGTTGAGCTTTCTAAACGAAGCCTCCTGCTTAAAACTTCGTTATAAATTACAATTTTTCAGTTCTAAGCAGGCATGGTCATGGATATAGATATGGATACAGATAATATCAAAATGCCTGCGGATATCCGTCTGTATCCGCAGTAAATATGCGGAAATACCAAGATCAGTATCCGTGACCATATCCGTGACAATGTCTGGTTCCAAGGATGTCTTATAATGAGATTCGACTATATAGCTTCGATTAAAGCTATAGCAGATGGAGATTGTGAAATAACTTATAAGTTATAGTAGTATTCCTCCTGCTTAAAACTTCGTTATAAATTACAATTTTTCAGTTCTAAGCAGGCATGGTCATGGATATAGATATGGATACAGATAATATCAAAATGCCTGCGGATATCCGTCTGTATCCGCAGTAAATATGCGGAAATACCAAGATCAGTATCCGTGACCATATCCGTGACAATGTCTGGTTCCAAGGATGTCTTATAATGAGATTCGACTATATAGCTTCGATTAAAGCTATAGCAGATGGAGATTGTGAAATAACTTATAAGTTATAGTAGTATTCGAGTATCCGAAAATTTCGTTTCATTGTTTCCTATAGATTTACTTGGGAAGTTTATGAATGATAAACAATAAACTGAAAATCACGTCTCTATTTGTACCCTAAACTAGAATTATTTGTTAAATAATTCTACCAATTTTTTTAATTTTTAAAGAGATTTACTCAGCGAATTAATATCCAGTTTGATTATGATAAGACATAATCGGAATGAAAAATTTGATAAAATATGGCGAAAAGGGCAAAATAGGCGAAACTTTAAAAATTGGGCAAAAAAATTATTGAAAGATGAGTTATTTGAGGAAATTGAAATTATAAAGGATGTTAATGGAAAGGAGAAACAAAGTGAAAATAAAACGGGAATTAATTATTTTTTGGATAGATTGAAAGAAGGTAATTAAATAATTTAATTAAAAATTAGTTGACAAGAGGTTGGGATCAGAGCTATTTCGAAACAAAAGTTTTTTTTCGAAAATCTGAAATAAATAAAGCAAAATATCGAAATTGAAGATATTTTTCAAACTCTCCGAAATCGAAAAAATCTGAGAAATAATTCGTAAATGTTTGGTGAATATTAGGGATCGGATTTATAAATTATAACCTATTTCTATGCAAAATAGTCCTAATGAATTGAGCTCAAATTCGTTGTTATTTCATTAAAATCTTTTGTTTACGGAGGGTTATTATGGAAGGTTATTATTTCACTTATTGTCACCTAACATTCAACCTATTTGGGTGGCTATTTTAAGGTTTTTACGACCTAAAAATCCGATCTCTAGTGATTATGTTAGAACCTCAGAGTTAGCAATTTAAAAGGCCATGGGTCCGTGAGAAGGAACTAGAAGAAAATTCTAAGGTCATTAAACGGATAAAGGATCCACTTCAATCTTCACCTCTGCAGTAATCTTCTCTTCTTTTTTCTGTAATCCCTTTTTTCAATCTTCTTTTCTTGCTCTTCATTATTCTTCTCTTGTTTTTTTAATCGTCCGGATATCTAAAATTTTCTGATCATCCAACTAATCTTCCTTACAGTAATCTAATTAAGAGTTATTTGTTATGAAATTATGAAATTAAAATTAAATTTTGTAGCCCTTCTTTCTCACAAAATTGACATGGATAGATTTGCTACAGCTTTCGACTTGAAGGAGAATAACATAAAAAATATTTTTGATCTTTTAAAAATTAAACCTAACGATTTACGATCAGAAATAAAGAAAATTAAAGAAGTAAAAGAAGAAAATAAAAAAGAAAATCAAAATAAAAAGAAAAAAGAAAATAAAAATTCTGATAAATCTACAGGTAAAGGCAAAGAATTAAAAATTAAACCAGAAGAGATAAAAGAAAGTATTAATTCTGAGAAATCTTCTGAAATTAAATCAGAAGAAGAGAAGGAGAAGAAAGAAGGAATAATAAATGATTCTGATAAAAATAAAAAGAAAATAATTGAAGAGGAAGATAAGGAAGAAGAAAATATTTTTGAAGGATTAGGAGATAAACTGAAAGAGAAAAAAATAAACTCCGACGAAGATAGTTTAATATTAAATGAAAATAACGAAATAATATACTTTAAAAAAGACATTAGTATAAATAAATCAAAAATTGAGAAAAAAATTAAGAAAAAAGAATGGAGGAAAAATAAGAAGAGGAATGATAATGAAGGAAGTTTTGAAATAATAAGGGAAGGAAAAGATAAAAGTTTAGAATTTAGTGTTGGGAGAGAGAAAGAGAAGAAGAAAAATGAAGAAGAGGATAAGGAAGGAAAGAATAAGGTAATTAATCAAAATGAAGAGAGGAAGAATAAGGAAGAAAAAGAGAAGGAACTTACGAAGGAGAAGAATACTGGCGGAGAGGTTAAAAAGAATAAGGAAGTGAAGGACTATGATAAAGAAGAGGGGAGAATTGAAGAAAATAAAGAAGAGAAGGATAAAGAACAAACAATAAAGGAAGAGAATAAAATTGAAGAGGGGAATATTGGAGAGAATAAAGACGAAAAGGATAAAAACGAAGATGAACTAAAGATGGAAGAGAATAAGGATGAGAATAGAAATGAAAGGACGACTGAAAAAAGCAAGGAAGAGATGAAGAAAGTAGAGGAAGAAGAGAAGATTGAAGGAAAGATTTCAGAAAAGAAGGAAAAGAAGAATACTGGAGAGGGGAAGATAGATGAGAATAAACAAAGAAAGGTTAAGGAAGAGAAAATTGAAGGAAAAAATGAAAGGAAGAATATTGAAGATGGGAAGATTGGTCAACAGAAAGAAGATGAGGAAAGAAAGATTTTAGAAAAGAAGGAAAAGAAGAATACTGGAGAAGGGAAGAGTGAAGAGAATAAGGAAGTGAAGGACGATGATAACGAGGGAAGGAGAATTGAAGAAAATAAAGAAGAGAAGGATGGAGAACAGACAATAAAGGAAGAGAAGAATAATGAAGAAGAAAAGAAAATTGAAGTGAATAAGGACGAAAAGAATAAAGGAGAAAATGAACAGATAACTGAAGTGTATAAGGAAGAGAAGAATAAAGGACAAACAAAAAATAAAAGATTAAATAAGAAAGATAATTCTGATAAGAATAATAGAAAATATAGGAAAAATAATAAGAGAAATAATCATAAAAATCAAGTTTGGAAAGCAAAGTCGGAAATTGAAAAGAAACTTTTAATTAAAACAGAAAATGAAAAAACTGAAGAAAAGTGAGTTTTCATTTCTAGATAGCCCACTCCTAGGGTTGAAAGTGCATGAAAGTTAAGTTGAGGATGGGAGTATCGGAGGATTAATGTGGATATCAAGTGATTTAGAGTGATACCCTGAGATATAGGTGTGATTAAGCGGACATTGGTGATTTGGGGATTAGTAAGGATATCAAGTAATTAGTAGTAAAAAAGGAGAGTGACTATTTAAAAATAAACTAAAAAGCATTAATATTTTAAATTTTACATTAAATAAAAAATTTTCTAGTAATGAAATTAGCAACCTAAAAACAGAAGAACAAGATACTTGTTTATTGCCTGAAAGTGAAAATGATAAAATTAAATTTACGAATTCAGGCATTACAAAAGTAGAAAATAAAAATGAGGAATTGAATTTATATAGAAATGAAGGTAATTTCAAATTTTTAAAATCAAATCTTAGACGATATCCCAAACTCTCGTTATTGGCTCTGACATTTCCAACCCTTACTTTGAGTAATTTAAATAAAAAATCGGAAGGCAACTTAAATTTTTTAAATAAATTTTATTCTTTCATTAAGATTTAATAAAAATTGAGGATTTAAAAAATAATAAAAGATTTAAACAAAATGCGGCTAACAAAATAAAATTTAATCAAAATCGCCAATTAAATGCTAATAAAATGCTTATGAAATATAAAAATAAAAAGAAGGTACAGAGAATAAATTCAATTAAGGATAACCTTTTCCTTAGATTCCCTTAATTCCCTAATCAAATTTAAGATATGATTTTTAAAATTAGAGTGACCATTTGTAGGGAAAGATGTCTAAGCGATGAATCCAATTTGAGATACACCCTCATTTATAAGGCTCGATTTTACGACACTAAAAGGTGATATAATGAAGCTATTAGCCTCCTATAATGGGGTTCGACTATGGGTGTAGTTCCGGGCAATTTTATGTTCTGAATCCGAAGATTTCACCGGAATCGCTAATTCTAATTCGACCTTACTTTAATAATATTTTAGTTTTAAATAAATTATAAAATATTTTTATAGCAAAATATTTGTTGCTTAAATGAAATAAATAAATTAATTCAAAAAATTGAAAGCATAATTTCATTAAATAATAAATTGGAAGAATTTAATAAATTAAAGTTTGAATGGGAAAATATAAAAAATAACAATTTAAATTATTTTAATTGCAATTTATTTAAATTAAAATTGGAAAAATATAAAAATTAAAAATTAAAAATAAAATTAGAAAAAGAAAGAAAACTTTTGGTAAAACAGAAATAATTTTTAAATATTTTTTTGAATTTATAGACTGAAGCAGCACTTGAAGTAATACCTTCAAATATTAAAAAGTATCCACTAGAAATTACAATCTCAATGTTTAAATCAACCATTTATGGATGGGTAATATCTAATTATTTAAAAATAATCACAGTCAACCCCCAATTTTTTATGCCACCAAGTGTTCTCAATTTAATTACCCTTTTTATAAGGGCAATTTTTCCGTATAAGTTTATAATAGAGCATCTGGGCTATAGCTATTTCTCTCCTTTAGCTAGTGCAAAAGGTTAATCGGCGGCTGGGAGCGAACCAGCATCTTCAGTAGACCGGACTGATGTGTTATCCATTACACCACGCCCCCTACGGCACAGCCTTAGAAATTAAATAGCTATATGCTTTACATTATCACCTAAAATGAGGGCTGACAGTGATTAAATTATATTTTATTTTCCTCTAAATAAAAAATTTTCAGCGCCCTGAAGCTCATATACTCATTTCTGGATCATATTTATTTAAATCTCTCATGCCTGACTCAGATATTGATATGGTTGTATTATTGCCAACTCATGACAAAATTAATGAAATTAATTTACAATATACACATAATTTGGTTTTTGATGAAGATAAAAATTCGTTATATAATATACTTAGAAGGGTATTTATTTAATTTAATGTTGAAACTTGTTTTTAGATACCCAACCTCTGTAGATACTCGTTAATTTATGCTAATGCTTATTGGAGTGTCTGAATCTAAATTTGATCACGCATAGAGATAGGAATTGAATATTGACCTATTTCTGGAGCTAGGGCCGGGTACATGCTTTTTTGTATGTATATCGTTTCATGATATTCAATGAGTGAAATAAACGGAATAGCTGATTTACCTTACTTACATTTTCATAATCTAAACAGTGAGTGGCTAAACATAGAGCAGACTGTCCAGTAAAATTTTCAGTTATCGACTAAAGTTTTTTTATTTATCGAACTATAAGAATATATGATTTCCAATGCTGATTTGTTATTCACGGACGATTTTCTAATGTGAATTATCCATTGATGTCCAGAAATGCAGTTCAAGTTGCGTTTTTTAGATTGCTTGTCTATGTATTTACGAGAAACTGATTTAGCAACCAAGTTATTGTACCCCTTATTATACTTGCGATTCTTTCAATCTAAAAATGAGTTTCTACCGTATTTAAATTAAAAAAATTAATTTTAATTTAAAAACAGCTGGAAGGTGTTAACTCGCTATTTAAAGTTGGTGGTCGAGTACCTTTATTAAAGCTTAAATATTATGGTTATGATTTTGATCTACTTTTTGTTAGAGTCCCAATTCTCCAAACAAATGAAAATTTTGTGTTTTTAGAGAAAAAAGATAAAGAAAATTTAAATTTAGAAGATACAGATAAACTCATTAATCAAATTATTTTTAATCTTAAAACAAAATATATAGAAGATATTCGTTCAGTTATACTACCTCTTTCCGGTTATTTTAAATATACAGTCGGCCCTTAATACCTAGATAATATAGTTATATAAAGGAGATATTCGTATTAGGCAACCTTTATTTAAAATCTGCTAGACACCTGTACTTAGATGAATGCACCAAGATTCGTACTCCTACTGTACTCATATTTGGCACAGAGTGAGACTAAGAGCAAAAATTGAAATGTTAACAAGTACGAGTATAGGACAAAATAAATAAGTGGAAATTTTAACCACTTGGAGGGGGAGATCTGCCTAAATTATACCCTACCAATTTATATGAACCAAATTATAAGACACATTTTGTACAACGCCGGATGTATCCTTCCAGTAAGCTCCGAGTCGGAGCTCCGAGTCAGATTTAGAAAGGTATAAATTGTTTTATTTAAAGGTTATCGCTCTAATCTTTATATTTCAAAATTAATGGATGAAGATTTTGATGTCTTCAGAACACTTCTTTTTGTCTTAAAAATTTGGGCTAAAAGTTTGTAGCTTTTATTTATGAATTAAAAAATTTAAAAATTTAAGAACATTTTATATACAGTGGACAGTTTGGGTTTTTCAATGGAACCAATTTAGCTGTGTTGGCTTGCAAAACAATTTTGTTAAATAATACAAACAAGCAACTTTCTATTGTTCATCTATTGGAGCAATTTTTTATCACATTTTCGAAATGGTTAGATAAGGGGCTTTTTTTCTTTTTTGGATGATCAAATTTTAAAATAGAGTTTCTGGTTTAAGTCAAGCCGCCCGCTAAGTAAATCCCTTGCTTAAATTGAATTATTGAAATTCTAGCATATAGTTATGTTAAGATAAGATAATCAAATACTAGTGATGTTAGAAACTTTCGGTCTCGACTCTCAACTCTCGGTTTGGTCTCGGGTCACTCTCGACTCTCGGGTTTTTTTAACTCACGGACATTACTATCAAATACAATGCTACTTGGCAATAATTTCAAATATACCAAACATACTTGAAGACAAATATACATTACACATATTTGGAGCCAAACTCTCAGATTGATTTCTGCCCAGTAACATTGGATTCGATTATCTTATCCTACCATACATATATACTCAAATAATCACCCTGGGTGATTATTGTTTTAATATCTCGCTGGAGTGTTTAAATAATCGACGGGTAATTATTTTAGTGTGTAATTATTTAATCATATATGGTTGATTATGTTTTTAAGAAATATTCTGTAACTTTTAACTAAGTATATATTTATCAGGAATTGGTCAAATCCTATATTATTAGAAGAAATAGATGACCAGCAACAACTAGAACAATTTAACAATTTATTAGATAAAAATCAAGATTTTGTCAAAAACAAAAATTCATTAGATTGGGATATTAATTCTGATTATAATAGCCGTCGCCAATTATTCGGTCTTAACTACTTTACTGTTTATGATGAAAATATAAGACGATTAGAAAAACATGCCGAGCTCATATGGCCAATTATTGCCCCAGGCATTCCTACACAAAATGCCGGATTTAATATAAATTTTTCAACATCGAAAATTTTACATGGAGAAATGAGGAATGGTGAATATTTTTTATTTTAATTTCCAGATATCAGTTAGCTTTTAAATTAAACACCATCTCTCGATGTTGCAATATTGTCGACGATTATCTCAATGTACCTCTTGGGTTCGAAACCTTTCGAGGATTTCGATAGAGTATTAATAATAAGATAAGGAATGAAATTATACGATATTTCCGCGAAAGAGTTATTTGACTTTCTTTAATCTCTAAATTAATTTTTATCTTAATTAAGCTTCTCCATCATTAAAAGATGTTCAAAATGTCATAAAATATTACACCAGCAAAAAGAGAAAAAATAGAAAAGATAAAATTCTTATAAAAAATGCATGGATAAACTGGCTAGATGGAGGTCCTTTCGAGGAAAAGGTTTTTAAAGTTTAATTTTTCCAAATTTTTATTTTTCAAGTATGAACACTTTATGGCAATTACTTCAATCAATTTAAATCCAAATAATTCGAATAATCAAATTTTTGAAGAATTTAACAATTTTGTAGAAACCCGAATTAGATTAGGACTTGTATTTAATATTGAAAATATTCACGAAATTAATTATTGTCATGCTAAGCCTGGGAGAGTTTGGAATAATGAAAAGTGCCCTTCGATGATTATTAAAAATAATATTATTAATGAAAAAATAACAAATATAAATAATGAGTAGGTTCTTGACCTGTTTAGCATTTTATAGAATATATCGAAACTTACTATAAGTTACCTCAAATAATGAATACATATGTGTAAGAAATAATTAACCTTATAATTAGGGATTTACTTCTATCAAGTTAAGTAATGAGCTTTCTGAGACAAGAGTAAAACAATTTTAATAATTTTATCTGTGTATGAGAAAGATTTTTTGTACTCTCTGACATGCCAAAAAACTTTTAATTAAGTCAGTTGTCATTTAGGATCGAGGAACTCTTGGTTCTTCGACTCTCATTATACAGTAGGATTTATAGCCTTAGGGGTATATCTAAAAATTAGGTTCCACTGTATTTAATCTGCAATTTATTTCAAAGAAGTACTCCAAGTAATTGGCTATGTACAATTTGGATTGTCGGCATTAAAATGACTTCAACTACAAGATTATCTTCCCTAATTTTTATTTCCTCCACTAATCACTTTGAAGAATTTGCAAATAAAATTAAACAAAAATATATTTTACCTGAAGAAGAAAGAAAAAATATTCAATTATTTGCTAATTATTGGCTAAAGAGTCAACTTAAATCAGAATTAAGAGCTAAAAATAGATCCTAAAAATTTTGAAATTATTAGAATTTATTTAAAAATATTTTTTTGTTTGATAAAACTTTTATTTATTTATGTATAATCTCTGTCAAATTTATTATTAAGCCTGCACGTTTTATGTTTTTACTAGGTTTTACACAAACGATTATTAACATACTATAACTTCGGTTTTCGGTACTAGCTTAAAGAAAAGGTTTTGTGTTTCGAGTTTTAGTTTTATTTTGTATGAATTTTAGTAAGGAGCTGAGTCGAATTACATCAAAGTCAACAAAATCCGGCTTGATTGGAAGAAAGTTGTGATTGTTTGTTTTAGCTCATTACCTATGGTGATGCGGAGGATGCCAGGCATGCCCACCGACGAGAAATTAAAAATAGGCTTTGATTACCCTATATATGGCATTTTGAGCATTAATTAAGGGGGTGTTCACCTTGTACACCAAATTTTAGAAAATTATTATTTTTAACTAATTTAAAAATAATCTCTGAACATTTCTTTGCTCAAAATACCTAAAAATGTTTCTTTAAAATTAATTTAATCACATTAAAGAAAATTATCAAATAGATCAATCATTAATATTTTTATAAGAAAATTTCTTTATTTATTTAATAAAAGTTGTCCATTAATTTTTAGTAAAATATTTTAAAAATAAATTAAAATGTTTGCTGCAATTATTTTATTATTTATAATTTTATTTTTTTATTGGAATTTTATTTATAAACGTCAAGGCCTTCCGCCTGGGCCTATACCACTTCCATTCTTCGGAAATACATTAACGCTTTCACGGTAAAATTTAAAAAATTTTAGAAGGATTTGTGAATAGCAGTTTAGCCAGAGAAGGTCAGAAGGAGGAGGAACTGACTTAAACTGACAATAACACTAATCTTAATACAGACATAAGTAGGGCGTGTTAAAACATGCAAATGCATATTATGCATGCGGATATGATATGAGCTAAAACGGGCAAATATGCATCGGTCCGAGCACTTTAGGACCCGGTTTTTAATGCATATGTTTGCATATTTCGGTACTTTCGTGCATATTTGCATATCTGAGCATATTTTGGTCAATTTTTTGGTAAATTTTGCCAAGAATAGTCATAAGTCTAATAATATTTATTTTTCATTAATTTTTTCGTTTAAAATAAAAATTAAAAATATAAGCCGGCAGGTTCACTACCACTTCTAAAAAACAAAATTAATATTTAATTTCTAAATAAATAATCTTGAGATAATATTGGACAAAAATTATTCATTTTTGTTGTCAAAATAAAAATTATACGAAAAAAAATTTTTTAAGTTCAAAATGTGCTTATTTGCCTTACAAATTATGGGCTGACAAATATGGCCCAATATATACATTTTGGATGGGTGAATGTCCAATAGTTACAGTAACTGATTATTCTTTAATGAATGAATTGTTTGTCAAAAATGGTGATGCTTTTGTTGGAAGGGATTTTCTTAATCATTTAAGCAAATTAGTTGAAGGTAAATATTCCTTAAATATTCTTAAAGATTCCGTAAATATCCTTATTTCCGTACTCACACCCTATGAGTTTAATTGAAAAATAAAACTTCACTTCCGGGATCCTATTAATGTCGAATTTCATTCATCCTTGGAGCTGAAATAATGATAGAATTTAATAAAAAATATCCTAAATAGAGATATCGCTTAGATAACCCTCCCTCTCCTCCTCCCTCGTTCTCCCAGTAGCCAACCAATTTTTATAAGACACACTTATCTTACAATTAGTGAGTTTCTTTTATAATAAAATTTGACTAGTATCTATTTGCACATATTCATCCGCAATAACCAAAACAAAAATTAATTAACTAAAAATTTATTAAAAAGTACACACTGGCAATCACGGAGTTATTCAAACACAGGGAGACACTTGGAGAGTAATGCGTCGTTTTGGTCTGCTTTCAATGAGAACTTTAGGTGTTGGAAAGGCTGGGATGGAAAAACAAGTAAAATTTAAATTAGAAAATTAAACAATTTATTTTTTTAAAGTTTAAAGAAGATATAAATGAAATGATTAATAAATTAAGTAACCAAGTGTTATTAAAAAATGGGGAAAATATAAATCTTCAATTATATATTGACAGATTAATTGGTTCGACAATTAATAGAGTGTTATTTGGATTTGCTTTTAATGATGTAAGAATATTATTTAAATTTAAAATTTTGGCTCTAATCTAGTGCTGGATATTCCAGTGCTGACTGAGACTATCTCAGAGCCTGCTACGGCCGTAGATTAATTTTGAAAATACCTGATGCCTGAGCTAGGATCTAAAACTGATCGGAACCGGAGCAAAGTATACCTCTGTCCAACTCACATAACAAAATGGTCATAATCACCATAGTTAAGAAAAACAATTTATAATAATTTTCGAAAAACAGATTGACTGGATAATAGTCAGCTGGATTTGATCAAATCAGCTCTGTTTGATCATTTTAGTCTAAACTAGGATTCGCTTTAGTCTTAGTTTAAAGAGGTTTATTTTCAACTTGATTGTGCAAAATAATTCGTTGATTTTATCCTCAAAATTTGTCTATTCTTTTCAGAAAATCTTACACTTTTCATTTTGCTCGGCAAACTTTAAGCAAGATTAGAGGTGCAAGACGGTATGGGGTTTTAAGCGACAAACGGAATTAATGGATTCCAGCAATCTAATCTAAATAGATAATAGTTCAATAACCATTCTGTCCCTTAAACACGCAAATATACACTAGAGCCAAAAAATTATTAAATTTCAATTAAAGAACCAAATGGACGAATTTAATGAAATAAAATCAACATTTGACAAGGCCAGTCGTTGGCAATTTAGTTTTTGTGGGCGATTACTAGTTGCTGCTCCAATACTTCGTCATTTACCTTTCTTTTACCAATCTTTTGTTGAATTTTCTGAATTACCATTACCAATATATAAATATTTAAATAAACAAATTGTAAATAGAATTGAAATAAGAAGCTTGAAAAATGAGAAGAAAGAACCAAAAGATTTGTTGGATTGCTATTTAGACCAAATGGAGAGTGATGAAGCTGATGAAGAATTTAAGTAAGTAAAAAAGTACTATTCTTGGGATTAGATATTCTTTGTCAAGTTTAGATAATTCTCGTTTAAGTTTGCCTAGACGGTGAATAAGCCTAGCATCTTACTACTCACTCTAAAACCATTAGAAGGGTCATAAAATTTAAAAAATTAAATAATTATCACATTCTAAACCCTTCTAAATCATTAACTCAAATTCACGTGTATACAAAGGAAATTAACGAAAATTCTGAATTTGCTAAAGTTATTTGTTGTAAAGTTTCAGAAAATCGTGAATAAAAGATTCTCTGAATTTACTTTGTATTCTCAGAAATCTAAGTTTGTTATCAGTTGATCTTTGGTATATTCTCCAATAAGTAAAGCAGCTGGGCTATAGCTATTTCTCTCCTTTAGCTGATGCAAAAGGTTATTCGGTGGCTGGGTGGTTACCAGCATCTTCCTTAGACCGGACTGATGTGTTATCCATTACACCACGCCGCCTACTGCACAGCCTTAGAAAATTAATAGCTATATGCTTTACAAATATAATATTTATATCACCATCATATGTCTGTAACATAGTAGCCTTTTTTCAATTAGACCTTATCTGTACTTGAATAAATAAAAATATAAACGAATATTTTATTTCCTAATATGTAGATAAAAAAAATTACGATTAATTATTAATTTTTAACAAAAGTATGGACAATTTTCGAGCATTATGCTACGATCTTTTATTGGCTGGACAAGAAACTACTGGAAATACTTTAAGCTTTCTAGTTTTGTATTTATTGTTGGATCAGAGGGTTCAATCGAAATTACAGGCAGAATTAGATAATTTAGCAGAAGGAAATGAAGAATTAATTGGGTTGTCACAAAGACCACAAGCAAACTATACAAATGCTGTTATTAATGTAAAAATTATTACTTATTTAGTAAAATTAGGACATAAACCTGGATGGGGTTTTAGAGAGATTCTTAGTTTATGGATATATCCTTTGGCAAGAAATTGTAACTTATAAGGAGGAACAACTTAAATCAGGGCTTCGATCTCGAATTTTTAAAAATCCGCAATTTTGACCAAAAAAATCCGCATTTGATATGAAAAATCCGCAAAAATTATCAAACACAAAACTTAAAGTAAAATCGCTTTGTTTCATATTTATTGACACCAACAATTGAATTATGCAATTTTTTATTACTAATGATAATCTTATAGAAATCCGAAAAATTATCTGGACAATTACACTTGAATTTTTGTCGTTGAAGACGCAAAAATTTTTATTTCTTCCTTTTTCAGCGCCGCAGGCGAAAATTTTGAGGATTTTAGAAGGCTGTTTGTTAAAAGACAGATTTATTCCATTTTCAGCGCTGCAAGCGAAAATTTTGAGGATTTTTGAAGGTCTTTGCAGAAAATACTGGCATTTTATCATAAAAACTACAGAAAAATGAAAGAAATCCTTATATCCTTCAAAAGACCACAAAAATCCGCAAATCCGCATTTTAAAAAATAATCCTCATCGCCATATCAAAAAACCACAAAATGAGGAAAAATCCGCAGAAATCGAAGCCCTGACTTAAATAGAGAGTGTCGTTTAGTCAGCTTCCGTGTCCAATGATGGGGCAAATTTTGAGAAAACGTATACTAAATTTGGGTGTATCTAGTTTTGTTTTATTTTATAGTGAGGTCATAGTGTAATTCTTTTGTTCCAAATCATATTTTTTGATAAAATAGGACTTTCAAATTTTTGTCCTGAAAATCCTGCACTATTCGACTCCCGGATTATCCGATTTATAACACTCAAATGAGTCAAATTACTGTTTTAAACATGGGAATTTTTAAAGATCACTTGAAATTATAAATTTTTATTTTCTTTATTTTAAAGGAGATTTAATATTTTTTGGAAAAAAAATTCCAAAATTTTCAATTTTTTAATTTCACTCATTTTTAAGGAAGTTCAACGTCTTTGCAATTTATTACCTTTAAATTTATCTCACAAGACAATGTTTGATGTAGAGATAATGGATGGAAAATATTTCCTTAAAGAAGGAACTGTAATTTTACCTCAAATAAGTTGCTTATTATATGATGAAAAAGTTAATGGAAAATAATTTTAAAATTTTTAAATTCAATTTTTAGGTATTCCCCAATCCTCATCTTTTCATTCCCGAAAGATTTTTAGATGAAAAAGGTCAACTAAAACGATTTGATTCGTTTATACCTTTTGGATTGGGGAAAAGGTAAATAAATAAAATAGTATTTTCTTTAATAAATAATGAATAGATTTAACTAATTTTAAATTCAAAAAAAAATAATTTTGGGTTTGCTTTTGAAAAATCAAAAAATTTTAGCCCACTGTGCTAAATGAAAATTTACTTATATGTATAAGGTTCTGTATATCCGACAAATTTTCTACTGAAACAAGAAAATTTACTTTTTTTTATTTGAAGTATTTTCTTAGAAACGTATCATAAAATGATTAAAGGGTGTCCGACTCATTGCTTAATTTTTTAAAACAGTGAGGCATTTGTTCAAAAATTCAGTTTTAGGTTTGGAAAGGCCAAAATAATTTTTTAAGCTCTATAACTCCAAAATTAGACAAACTTTTTTTTTCGAATTACCCATCAAAGAAAAGTTAACCGAATAACTCAAAAACCACATTAAATTTCGAGCTTTAATTAAAATTCATATTTAACAGAGCCTGTATGGGAGAATCATTGGCACGTGCCGAGCTATTTTTATTTATTGCTAATTTCTTCCGAACTTTTCAAGTAATTAAAAACTAGATAAATAATTCTTTAATTAAAAACGATTTAGGTACTTCCTGTTGATCCATTAAATCCACCAACTGCACAAAAGCAGAAGGCTTTTGTAGTTCGCCCAGACCCTTATAATTGTCGATTAATTTTAAGAAAATAAAAGGAAAAATTGTTTTACTAGATTTTTTGAAGCGTTTTAGAAATCTTAAAATTTCAAAAAAATGAATAAAATTTTTCTCGTGTATTATTTTAGAAATAATTATAATTAAGTTTGAAACCGAACCAAAAAACTTGATTTTTCTGTTAATCAAAATAAAAAAAATTTTATTTCTAAATTTTATTAGAAAATTTTCCAAAAAGCTACAACTAAATACATATTTTACAAACATTATTTAAAGAAAATAGTATATTATTTATTGATTCTAAGGTAGGAGGAGTAGGAAGAGGTGTTAGTAGGAGGAGGAATAGGATGAGGAGTAGGAGGAGGGTGGAGTAGAAAGGAGAGTAAATGGTTGGAAATGAGCACAAATTTTATATCATTTTTATTCCAAAGACTCATTACTAAATGCCAAAATTAAATATATCAAATAAATTCAAGTCTTGTATTAAAGAACAAAAAGTTTAATTTTAGACGACAAAGAGAACAAGATTTTTAAATAAACGTACGCTAAAGCTACAATCGAAAAAAATTTATGCTTGCTTAATAAAAATATGTATTTGATCTAAAAATTTATAGTTTAGTTAACAAAATTTAAAAATAATTTAGTCAAACGAAATTTAAAATAATATCCCTTATACATAAAACAATTTTCTAAATTTTTGTTTTATTTTTTGAAAATTTTATTTATGAAATATTCCACAACTAAATATTATTTGACAAATATTTTTATAATTCTCCATTTATGAAAATTCAATTTTACATTTTTAGACCCCTTCAATTATTTATTAACCCCACTTAGTCCTTCCCAAAAAATATTTTAAAAAATTTATTTTTTAATTTTTATCAACTATTTACATCAATGAGTGAAGAAAAACAACAAATTTTAACAAAAATATTTAAAAAACAAAGAAAATCATTACCTCTTGAACTTGTTAATAATATATTTAGAGAAGCTAATAATTTATTTTATTTTGAATTACAAAAATGGTAATTAAATTTTGAACTTCTTCCACCCCTCCCCCTCCCCCACACAGGGTTGGCAGACCCTAGAAGTCCCCAAATATTCAGATCCTAAACCGAAATTTTTATTAAATTTGTGAAGAATAAAGGATGTCTTGATAAATAATGTAACGATGAAGGATGTCTCGGGGATAGTTTTCGTGGAGAGTCACCCTTGCACGGAATCATAAGCATTATTCCTCTCTTTAGGAGCGAAATTTTGTAATTTTTTAAAGGCCAAGACTAATATTAAATTAGACACCTTTTGATTTTAGAATTTTTAATCCATAATCTGAACTGATAAATCCATGATTTATTATTTGGAATATTCAAAGTCACTCCTAACTTAATTATAAAATTTATTTTATTTAATTTTAGACATCCTAGAAATTATATTTTTCAAAGGGTTTAGCTTCCAAAACCAAAAATTTTCTCTAAAAATTAAAATATGGAGTTAAAATAATTTTTATGATAATTCTCCGAAAAATTAAAATTTCCAAAATAAAGGCTAGCAGAGATTCTCCCCTCTTAATACCTTAAAAATTACCTACAATTTAAAATAAAAATTTAATAATTTCAAGTCAAACAGCATATTTCCGTCTAAAAATGAAAGGGATAAGAATCAAAAATTCGCCAACAAAAAATCAACAAATAAAATTTTTGTACGAATGTGCCAAAAATTTATTAACTTGCTCTGGTATTGTCTACATATATGTTGGAAAAAATTTCAAAAAAACTGTAGGGGAATTTTTTATCAAAAAATATTAAAATAAATTTGATTTTTAAAATAAAAAAAATTATTTAAATAAAATATCCCTTAATGTTTGGCGGTTTGTGTGCGCCAAACTGTGGTTTTGTTCTTTGACTTATATTTAAATTAATAAATATAAATGACCATTTACTTAATATATAATGTTCTTTTTAATTCAACCTACTCATTTAATTGAGTCCATTTCTTTTTTCCTAAAAAATAAATATTTTTTATTAATTTTTTTATCATAGAAAAGAAATTCAAATTTTTTGCCCATAAGTAAAGGTCTAAAATTATTTTTAACTCTCCTCGATTTTATTTTCCTAATTTTTTTACAAACATTCCCTTACAAATTAGTAATACAAAAATTTTAAATTAAGCCTCAATTAAAAAATTTACAAATCTTTATATTTGACAAATTAAATAATTTTAATTGAATATATTTAAGAAAATGGAACAAGAACAAGCTATTGAGGAGGTTTCTGATTGTTTTCTTTAAAAAACTTTTAATTATATTTCTGAATGAAAATTAAAAAAAATTTTTTTTAGTTTTATTAGAAATTTATTTTCGATTTTCTCCAAAAATTTCAGATTAAATACCCTAATGTAAATCAGAAATAAATTTTTATAAAAAATTTTTTTATTTAAAGATTGGCTTGACTTTCTTTACAAGTCAAATGGAAACAGATAACTTGATTTCCAACTTGACTAATGTCATTCAAGAATCACATAAAGTCAATGAAGATGTTAAGAAGGAAGTAACTAAAAACCTCGGAAAATTAACTACGGTTAATACACGACTGCAAAATGCTCTTGGTTTTGCAACGCGTTTTCTTGCAAACCGTCATGCTGTTGGAAGTACTTCTGCTGCTGGAAGTATTCCTAATGATGGTAAATTTATCGTTAAATTATTGAAAAATTTCTTTTCCGGAAAATAATTAAGAATAAACCTTTTCCAGAAAATAATTCAGATTGGGCAAAAGGGAGCGGCCAACCTATCTTGATCTTAAGTCACCTTTATTCCTCCAGATATTTGGAACCACCTCCTGCGTAATTTGATTTTCTGTGTCATTGATTCTTTGGGTTTTGAACTTTGGGGTGGACCCCCACTCTGAATAACTTTTAATGGGTTGACCCAAAAAGAATGAGCCCTCTTTTTGAGCTAGATTTGGAATTGTACACTGGGAATTAATTCCTAGGGGCACTGAACTTAATGGAGATGCTTTATCGTACAATCCTGTACCGCGTTCAAGTTGCCATTAATGGTTTCATAGTTCAGGGTCGACGTCAAGGCCAGGTTGTTTTTCCATCAGGACAACGTGCCTTCACACCGTGCAAATGTAACACGTGCCCACATTTATGAAACACTCGAATGGGAAATTCTACCCCACCCGCCTTCCCAGAAAAGCAAAAAGTACCAGATAATAATGGGCAATACATCGTTTCTTGATTGTTTTTTGTTTTTTTGTTATAGTAAATTATTTGCATTATCCATAAAGGACTCATTCTTTTTGGGTCAACCCAAAAATTCCCATTATTACGAAAATTTTATTTTAATTTTAAACTACTTTTGTATTTTTATATATGTAGGCAAAAAGATTCTTGCACGGACCCGTAGCCTTGGTTCTGTAACAACAAAGACATTTGTTTGTCCGCATTGCGGTAGACAAGAAACTGTTTCAAACAAAGCTCGTCATTTTAAGAATGGAGTTTGTACTCGTGCTCAGAAACGTAAATTGGAAGAGGAAAGTGATCGACGAGATGGGAAAAAATGTAAGACGACAGAGGAAGGTAGTGATGGTGGACAACCAGGTCCTTCTTTTTCTTAGAAAAAGCTGTTGAAAAGACTTTTTGTTAAATCATTAAAAAATGTTCTTATATTTTAAAACTTTGTTTACGTATATGAAAAAAATTTTTTCTAAAATAAATTTTTTTCTCGAATTTTATTATTTTATCAAAATAAGTACGGGTTTTGGGTTTTGGCATAAAGATCGGACACTTGTAAAAATGGATATTAAACTTGATTTAAAAATTCCTGAAAATATAGATCTCTACTACAGATTTAGATTCAAACAAAATTATTTTATAATTAAATTTATTGTTAAAAGACAAAAGAAAAAAATTCTTGAAATAAGAAATACATGTATTTTACGATTAAAAATGCTCAAGTTTTTCAAAAATAAATTTTTTTGTATATACTCAATTAAAAAACGGATTGAAATCTGTCTGAATTTTCCTCCTATTTTAAACTGTTGAACATTTTTCGACAATTTTTACACAGCAGATCAAAATAGGCAAAGGCTGTTACTACCCCTTTAGAGTCTTAGCTAGAGTCTTAGACGTTTTGAAGCGAAAGAAAGAAAAAGGTATGTATCTCGGTCTAAATTCATTTCTGAGACCTGATTTTGGTGCCATTCGACCCAGCTCGACGAGCCGAATCGAATGATACATAAATTGAAAGACTTTGGAACCGTTTACCAGTTAAAATAAACCTAAAGGCGTTTAATACAAAATTGATGATTATAAAGCGAAATATCGGAAAATTTCTGGTGTTTTCTTTCTTAAAAGTATCTTTAGGGTATTATCTACGATATTGTAAGACAAATTTTTAAATCTATAGAGATTTGTCGAGATAAAGCTTCTCAAAGTTGGCTCTCAAAATATACCGTATCCTTATAAAAATAGCACGCGAAAAAATTAGAGTGAAAAGATGCAGAGAAAAATTCAGTCTGCACTGAAACGACTAAAAGTAACAGGCTGATCTGCTGTGTTTTTATCAAATAGCCAGTAAAAATATATTTTATGATTAAAGTTAAGACTTCGTCCACATTGGTAAAACGGTCGTTTCGAAATGTAAAATCTACGACAGATTAAGAGAAACTGTATAAGTTTACTATATTTTTGTATAAATTTTTTATAATTGCTTCGGATAATATTGACCTAATTACACAAATAGAAAAAGTTTTATCCATTTTGTCAAATCACACTCATTCTTTAGATTTTATTTACAGAGGCTCTACGAATTTTCAGAGAATTCTTTGATTTAGCTTGAGATGATTAGCTAAAATTAGGATATAAACCTGTGCCTTAGTTTATTAATATATTCTTTTGCAAAAAATTGTAACTTATAAGGAAAAACAACTTAAATAAAGGGTATCGTTTAAAAATTTAAGATAAGTTAGTTCTTAGTCGAATTATCCCATCTATAAAAAAAGTTTACAGAAAAAACTCAAAAACCAATTAAATTTCCAACTTTAAATAAATATATGTGCATATTGAACAGAGCCTGTATGGGAGAATCATTGGCACGTGCCGAGCTATTTTTATTTATTAATTTTTTTCGGACTTTCCAAGTAATTAAAGACTAGATAAATAATTCTTTAATTAAAAACAATTTAGGTACTTCCGGTTGATCCATTAAATCCACCAAATGCACAAAAGCAGAAGGCTTTTGTAGTTCGCCCAGACCCTTATAATTGTCGATTAATTTTAAGAAAATAGAAATGAAAATTTGTTTTACAAGATTTTTTAGTTTTAGAAATCTTAAAATTTTTAAGAAACAATAAATAAAACTTATCGTGTATTATTTTACAAATAATTACTTATATAATTAAGTTCGAACCCGGATCGAAAACTTGATTATTCGGGTTTAATTCACTGGGGTCTGCCGCACGCGAAAATTGTGAAGAGGTTTGAACAAATTTTTTATAAAATTTATTTAACCTCAAAAATAACTTCCAAAGAACAAATTTTTTAAATTTGGAAGTAAATATATAAATATAATTTAAATAAAATATTTTAAAACGGAATGTCCAAATACAAATTTGTATAAAGTAAAAAAATTTTTGAGGATACAAAACTGGGATGAATAAATTGAAGATGAAAATTTGACAACAATGCAAAAAAATCATGCGACATTACAAGGAATAAAGGCAATGGAATTAACAAATAATTTAAAAAATAAAAGTCGAACCTCATTTTTGATACCCACATAAAAAGTACTTTATTATGAGCGTTAACCTGAATTCGGAGTATTTATTAGCAGCTTAGAAACCGTGGTCAGCCAAATAAAAAAATTTTAAATCAAAGTGTGTCGTCCGAGCCCATTGACCTACGTCAGACACTTCGGCTTTTATGGGTCCCTAAAACATTATAATATGTAGTATAAAAAATTACTCCGTCAAAATAACCATCATCACTATTCTGTGTGCGTGGCGCGAACTTTGCGGACCCGAACTTTGCGGACCCGAAATTTGCGGACCCGAAATTTGCGGAACGATAGTTGCGGACCCGAAGGTTGCGGACACAAAGTTTGCGGACCTGATTTTTGCGGAAACAAAATTTTAGGACCGACACTTGAGTAAAAAGAAAAAATTAAAAATTTTATTTTTCGATGATCCCGGCAGAGTTTGCCATGATCCGTACCGGATTCAAAATTTTTCTTGATTTTTCAAAATTTTTATCAATTTTTTATCTTAAAATTATTTCATAATTTAAATAATCGAGAAAATTCCTTGAAGAAATCATTTATATGGCCATCTCATAAGGTCATGATGCCTGAATTCATCCTAATTAACGCCGCTGGCTAAAATTTTTGAAATTTCCGAGGTTCAGTAGACTCTATTGTCGGTCCGCAAATTTTTGGTCCGCAAATCTCAGATCCGCAAAATTCGTGCCGCATAGTTCGGGTCCGCAAAATTCGGGTCCGCAAAGTTCGGGTCCGCAAATTAAAATCCGCAAATTTCGGCGCGCCTTCTGTGTGTCATCGGTAGGAAGATGTTCTCCATGATGGTTGTGTTAAAAATAAAATAAAAATGGAAAATAAAATAATAAAACGTGGCATCCTCCAGCTTTAGAAACAATAATTCTCCATCTAAACAAAAGAGTGATGGAAGGATTATTGTTTCAAAGAAAGAGGACACGTTTTGTTATTTATTTTTTCTTTTCTAATTTTATTTTTTAGCAAAACCATCCAAAAAACGAACCTCCTCGACCTGATGACTCTCAAACGGATTCTGGTGAAAATGATGGCGTTAACGTTTTCTACAATTTTTAATAATGATTACTAATGTTAACTTAATATTTCAGGGAGGACCATGAAGCCGCAGTGTTGGGCGGCAATCAACAGGATATGGTTTTACGGGTAGCAGTATAAGTGTTGGCGGTGGTGGATATGCAGGTGGAGGGGGCCGTAGTATCCACGTAGCCGTAGTATTAGTCGTCAATCAACCCAAGAGAAAAAAATACCGATAATTGATCACCACTCGGATGGATGCCAGCGCCACCCCGAGCCTCGGCCGCGTTGCCTGCACCAATACTGGCGCCACTTAAGGTGACGCCAGCGCCGCTCGAGCGGCTATCCAAATGACGACTACGTGGACCAGACTAAAATTATAAAATTATACTCGAACACGATTGTAGGTTGCAAAGCTAAGTTACGAGTGTTTTTTGTCCTACAATCGTGTTCGAGTTTCGAGGGCCATACCACACGTAATTTAAAGTATATACTTTAAATAACTCAAAAATTGCTAATCTAAATAATTTTATAATTTTAGTCTGGTCCACGTAGTCGTCATTTGGATAGCCGCTCGAGCGGCGCTGGCGTCACCTTAAGTGGCGCCAGTATTGGTGCAGGCAACGCGGCCGAGGCTCGGGGTGGCGCTGGCATCCATCCGAGTGGTGATCAATTATCGGTATTTTTTTCTCTTGGGTTGATTGACGACTAATACTACGGCTACGTGGATACTACGGCCCCCTCCACCTGCATATCCACCACCGCCAACACTTATACTGCTACCCGTAAAACCATATCCTGTTGATTGCCGCCCAACACTGCGGCTTCATGGTCCTCCCTGAAATATTAAGTTAACATTAGTAATCATTATTAAAAATTGTAGAAAACGTTAACGCCATCATTTTCACCAGAATCCGTTTGAGAGTCATCAGGTCGAGGAGGTTCGTTTTTTGGATGGTTTTGCTAAAAAATAAAATTAGAAAAGAAAAAATAAATAACAAAACGTGTCCTCTTTCTTTGAAACAATAATCCTTCCATCACTCTTTTGTTTAGATGGAGAATTATTGTTTCTAAAGCTGGAGGATGCCACGTTTTATTAGTTTATTTTCCATTTTTATTTTATTTTTAACACAACCATCATGGAGAACATCTTCCTACCGATGACACGCTGAATAGTGAGGATGGTTATTTTGACGTAGTAATTTTTTATACTACATATTATGTTTTAGGGACCCATAGAAGCCGAAGTGTCTGACGTAGGTCAACGGGCTCGGACGACACACTTTGATTTAAAATTTTTTTATTTGGTTGACCACGGGCCTTAAGCTGCTAATAAATATCTCAATGTACTCTCTAGCTCAAGTGTGTATGTATAATATACATATTATAGTTCTGTTCCTAAAAATTATTTCCTTATTCTGGGTGTATCTAAAAATGAGGTTAGACTGAAATATAATAAAGTCATCTAATATGCTTCGAACCAGAATGTACTGTTGCAGCCAAATTTCTATTTGAATTAGAAACTGTACGAATTTTACGTTGTGAAGGCCCTCTTGATAAATCCATCACTGAATTGAATCCTTGAGATTTATGTGCAATGCAAAGGATTTGATTAAGACAATCCAGCAGAGGCTAAAATAATAATAAATTAATAAATAAAAGAAAAATGTTTTTGGGAGAAACTAGACATTTAAAGAAATATTCAAAAGGATATTTAATCAAATAAGTTCGAAAAAATTAAACAAAATAGTATTCTATTCAAAACTCTTTATTACCTCATCATGTTTCTTGTTTTGACCAAATGTAAGTGAACGAACTACCAAATCCATTATGCGACAGCGAAGGCGAATAACCCGTTGTAATGTATTGAATTTGCCTCGGAACCCAAACCATTTATCAAGCTGAAGAAATTCATCATCTTGAAGAGAATGGGGCAGATCCTCATCTTTAAGATCACCTCAAAAGAAAATATTATTTTAAGAAAAAAATAAATTTATTCAAACCAGTATCGTGTTCATCAAGATGAATAATAATATTCCGTTCATTCCACAAACGCCTTTCATTTTCTTGTTGTTCTTTCCATTTTGCAATTTTCTCTTCACGAATTAATTGCCGTTTTCGTTGAAGATCGCCACTTGTATCAACTAATATAGAAAATACTAAAAATATATTCAACCCCAAAATAAAGTAGGACCTAACTTTTACATTCCCGTTGGAGCTGAAAAAATCGTCTCTAACCATTTATCCATATTTAAGAGTAATAGTTATGGAAGCTCCTCCCAACTAAAGATCAACCAAATAAAAAACAATATAAGTTATCTAATATTGGGTGTATGCAAAATTTGGTGTTTGCAAAACATTTAGACAATGACATCAATAAAAACAAAAAAAAATATACCAATTTCAAAATATGCCAAAGCTTCCGCCGCCATTCGAATTGGACCAGCAAATAATAAAACAGCAATTTGTGGAACTGCTGTAACAATTTTGATTGAATGTTGAGTCATAATATTATCATCTTTTGCAATTGCTTCGTGAAATACAAAATATTCTGGTTCAATTTTCTTTGAATTATTATTTGATGAGGTATTCGTAATTGTTGTTAATTGCTTTTTTAATGAGGAACTAGCGTGAAAAATTGATGATTTTCCAACACTGAAAAAAAATTTTTAAATAATAATAAATTAACGAAGACTTAGATTTTTAATTCCTTTTAATTTACTTTTCAGAAATTCAGTAAAAAATCCAAAAAATTAAAGTTAAAAAAGTAATAAAATTAATAAAAAATTTACTGTGAACGAATCCTATTAAATTTGTTGCCTCTTTGCACAAAACTATAAAATGAAAACATTTTTATATGAAAAATAATTATTTTCTAGTTAATACCCAATATTCGGATAAGATCCAGCAACAATTACTGCTTGTACCATTGGCCAACTATCAGAATATTTATTTAAAGACGAGTCATCTTCTGCTCTAAATATATCATCTGGGACTAAATGACATCGTCTAAGTTCATAAATTAATTGTTTTCTAAAATTTTTTAGTAAAAAAATTTTTTGTAAAAAATTTAAACTTTATTCCATGAATCATCCTCATTGCTTGTTCGCTAACCAAATATTGGTCACAAAATTTTTCTTTTAAATATTGAGTTGGTTCTGATTCATAAGCATTAAATAGGCGAATTAACATTAGATGATCACTCAAATCATTTTTACAAAGTTTGTCACGAGCAATTAAGGCATCTCGTTTTTTGTTGTCGTCGCTTCCAATTGTCAATAAAACTTTAAAAAAATTTTTAATAAAAAAATTCTAGTAGGATATTCTAAACAATTCATTTGAAGTTCTGTTTGGCTGTACTTTAGTACGTGGGTCCCGGAGTTAATATACAAATGTTATACCATTCGAAAGAGCTAGTCGAGCTGAGTCGAATACCACCAGTTTTAGCCCGAGGAAAAATTTTTGGACCGAGATATAGGTCCCCGAAATTTGAAAAAGCATAGGGGGGACCAAGCACTTTTTTGGGGTAAAAAATTCGAAAATGCAAATGATACCTCATTCGAAAGAGCTCCTCGAGCTGAGTCGAATGACACCAAAATCAACGAAATCCGACTTGATTGGACAAAGTTATGATTTTTTATTTTAGCTCCTTACCTATGGCATCTGCGGAGATTTTTGCTGCTACTGAGGCCCCAAATACGTCCAGATCAAGGGAGATAGGAATAGGTTTATGTTACGAGCCCAGACCCAGCACCCGTAGACTCCCCGCGAGGCGCGTGCTGCAAAACCCCGCGCGAAGCGCGGGGTTTTGCACAAGCGCTTCGCCGACGCCCCATAGGTTTAGGTTTTTTGTATGATAACTTTGTCTAATCTTGTTCAATCACGGTGATTTTGGTGTCATTCGACTCAGCTTGTCGAGCTCTTTCGAATGAGGTATAATTTTCATTTTCGAATTTTTTGACCCAAAAAATTTTCAAAATTCGGAGGTCTGTAACTCGGCCAAATAAAGTCAGATTTCGTTGATTTTGGTGTCATTCGACTCAGCTCGAGGAGCTCTTTCGAATGAGGTATCATTTGCATTTTCGAATTTTTCACCCCAAAAAAGTGCTTGGTCCCCCCTATGCTTTTTCAAATTTCGGGGACCTATATCTCGGTCCAAAAATTTTTCCTCGGGCTAAAACTGGTGGCATTCGACTCATCTCGACTAGCTCTTTCGAATGGTATAACATTTGTATATTAACTCCGGGACCCACGTACTAAAGTGACCCCTTCTGTTTTTATAAGGGCGTAGCCAGGGGGTGCTTCTTGGGCTAAAGCCCCTCCCACGACAGGCCAGTAACTAGGATTTTTTTTCGGGGGGGGGGGAAATTTTATTGCGCCAAATTTTTGGCGCCGAAGGCGCCAAAAATTTTTATTTTTAGCGCCGCAGGCGAAAATTTTTTTAATTTTAGAAGGCCGTAGGCCAAAAAATTCACTTTTTCGGCGCCGCAGGCGCCAAAAATTTGATTTTCAGCGCCGCAGGCGAAAATTTTTTGAATTTTGGACCTCAAGAAGCCAGATTTCGTCCTTTTTTAGCGCCGCAGGCGAAAATTTTGAAAATTTCGAAGGCCGTAGGCCAAAAAAATTCACTTTTTTGCCCCAGCCCTTCCCCAAATTTTTTCCTTTTTCCCATTTCGGGGGGGGGGGGAATTCCCCCCCTCACCCCCCCCCTGGTTACGGGCCTGTCCCACGAAATGGGGAAAATAGAAAAATTTGAGGGGATTTTTGAAGAAAAACTTATTTAACACTAATGCTTACAATAAAATGAAATTGGAAATGAAATTTAAAAAACAACCCCCAAAAAAATAATTGCCGATCTTATAAATATCGACATGTGATAATAAGCAATGAAACAAAAGCTTATTTTTTGAAATCATAATGATGAAAAAAATTCTAGAGAAAAAAGAAACTAACATGGATCACGATATGATATGGCAGCAACAAGAGTAGTAATTGGGTTCAAACATTTAAAAGAAAGTCCAAAAAGTAACAACCTAAAAATTTCTTAAATAATATTTTGAAAAACAGAGAAAAGAAACCTGGCTAGTTTGGGGTCTAATGGCAGGTGTGTTATAATTTTCCCAATTTCAGTAATGTCAGCTTCTTTCTGGATATCATTTAATGCATCTTCAAAATTATATTGAGTACAACTTCTTGGTGAAATATTGCTGGAACGGCTCATTTTCTAAAATTTGTAAAATTAAAATTTATTTAAAAGAAAGATTTTCTATTCAAGTAAGACACTATCCTTCTACATCTTATCCCTACATAATTACTTTTTAAATCATTACCTGGTAGAGAGTCCCTCGATTACGATGGTTTGTATTACGTTGCGTAGGAGAATAATTATAATCCACATAACCATCTGATGGAGTAATAAAGTCATCCCAGCTTTGTGGCGATTGGAGGGCACCAAGAAGCTTAAAAATAAATTTAAACAATTTTAAAATTAAATTAAAACCTCAAGAAATAACATGCTTTGATCCACAATAAATTCATCAGGTGGATCTGGCGCTTGTCTCAAAAATTCTTGAACAGTTAAACCACCAGGTGCAGACATTTTTGCATGCAAACAAACTTCCTTTAAAACGATTTTTAAAAAATTTTTAATAAGTAAATAAACATGAATAGCAGTTCGTTTAATTTCAGGTAATTGTGATGGCTCCATTTTGTTATAATCTTCCAAAGTATATAGGCGAAAACAATAACCAGATTGGCAACGACCAGCACGACCTATGAGATTATTAAAAATTAACCATAAAGAAGTCTTCCCCTATTCCTTATAAATCCAAATAAAAAATTTTTTAAACCTTTTCTTTGTTCAGCACTTGATTGTGAAATCCAACAACAATTAAGGCGGGCAACATGAGTTGAAGAATCATAAGATTTCTCTTTTGCTTTTCCACTATCGATTACAAATACAACATCATCCTAAATATCTTTGTAGACTTAGGAATGAACATAAATAAACTTACAACAGTAAGACTAGCTTCAGCAATATTGGTACTCAAAATCTGAAAACAAAATTAACATTGCTGTAAATCTAGTTTAGTACATACCACTTTACGTTGTCCATCTTTAACACGATCAAACACTAAAGGATAGAAAAATTAAAGAAATAACGATAAAAATAAAAATAAGAAGCCTGCCCCCTTTAGCTTCTTTTATTTTTAAATTTATTAATCACCCCATGAGAATTCTTAATGTCATTAAAGTACAAGCTAAACGACTTAAAGAGAAGTATAAAAATCCTTTTTGGTCTCCTATACCCTCATTAAGCAAAATATTTTACAAACCTTTCTGCTGCGCATTCATATTAATTTGAGAATGAAGAGTAAAAACAACAGGTTCGCAAATAAATTTTCCTTCTTCAAAAATTGTCATAATTCGATAATAAACATTACAAATTTCTTCATATCCAGGAAGAAAAACCTTTAAAAAAAGAAGAATACAAGTTAGAAATTTAAAAAATATATACAATTATTGCCCCTTGAACAGAACTATCCACAAGGTATCTTAATGTAGCTACAACAAGATCAATATCAACAGAATCACGCCATTGTCTGCCACCAGAGTCCAAATATTTCTAAAATTTAAGTTTAAAAAATCCCCAACATTTTTTTGTTTTTCTCAAGTTGAGGGATTGTAGTTCCTCTTGCCTCGAAAAGTCAAATAAAAATAAAAAAATTATACATCAACAATATCCTTTTGCGGCAAAAGAAGCATTCCAACACGAAATTTTAATAAAAAATTTTTGTCAGCAAATGAAGGACGGTCAATAAGGAGTTGATCTATATAATTGGAGTTTGAATGGCATAATGGGAAAGAATTCATTGCATAACTGCCATTCTCATAACCAAAAGAATCGTTCTGAAAATTTTAATTTTAGTGAAGTCTACAAGAAAAATTTTTTTCTATGTTCCACAAAACAACTCTTTTATACAATTTTATTAAGAGGAAATACAAAAATCAACCTGTATATTTGAGGATTCAAAAAATCCATAAGGATTAATTGGAGGATTGGATTCAAATTGATAAGAAGACTGAAAGGGAGAATAGCATTCTCCAGTAATTTTAGTTCCATTGCTATTGTTTTTATTAATATTGTTGTTGAACATTCCAAAAGACGATTTTGATTGATAACCAGTTAAAGCAATAATTTCAGGTAAGAAAAAACAATCGACATGAAAGACACGTGAAGGAACTGAAAAGAAACTTGATTTAATAGGGGGAAAAGCCCACATGTCCAAAATAAGCAAAATTAAAATTATAGAGATGTGCGAGACTCTTGGTCTTGGTCTTGGAACCAAGACTTTTCTTGGTTTATTTTCGGTCTTGGTCTTGGGGTGTTTGTCTTGGTCTTGTCTTGGTTTTATTTTTTGGTCTTGATTTTTTGGCCTCTTTGGATCTACTGATTGGCCTTCCAAAATCCTCAAAATTTTCGCCTGCGGCGCTGAAAAAGTGAATTTTTTTGGCCTACCGCCTTCTAAAATTCATAAAATTTTCGCCTGCGGCGCAGGGAAAGGAAGATTTTTGGCTTCTTGGCCTTAATAATTCCCAAAATTTTCGCCTGCGGCGCTAGAAAAGGAAGAATTCTGGCTTCTTAGCCTTCCAACATTTTCGAAATTTTCGCCTGCTAATATCCCCCTTAACTAAATAATCCACCCAAATCCTCTTAAATAATATATCTCATTGATTTTCCACCCGGATAAATTCACCAAAATTCTTTGAATTTCGCATAGATTTTTCGAAATTATAGGTGATTGTGCTGAAGTTGACTGTGATCGTGTCAAAATAACAAAAAATAAACCAAAAATTTGACCTATGGCACCTAAAAATTGTCTCGAGTTTTGTATTATGTATTTTTGGTCTTGAGTCTTGGAGTTTTGGTCTTGGTCTTGAGTCTTGATCTTGGAAAAATTTTTGTCTTGGGTCTTGAGTCTTGGAAAAATTTCGGTCTCGCACATCTCTATAAAATTAACAAAAAATAATACCATCAATATGACAAATCCCCTGTTGCTCAAAATATTTCAAGAATTTATTAATGTTTTCTCCCATAGTTGCAGACATTAGCACAACTCTCAAATCTGGTCGACGCGAAATCGCCCATCGCAAAACAATTAATAAGTAATCAGTATTTGTTTCTCGTTCATGAATTTCGTCCTTAAAAAATTAAAAATAATTTTAAAGTGAAAGAAAACATACAAGTATAACATGTGTAATCTCTGAAGCTAATTCATCATTAGTCAATTTTCTAAGAAGAACACCACTTGTACAATAAGTAAGTGCAGTTTTGGACGAAATTCTGAATTAAAATGATATTCACCAAAATTTGAAAAAAATTATTATCCCGAGGTAGGATAAAGGAGCGGTACCGTTTAATATAGGATGTTCGTTAGTGAAACTACATTACAGATTCAAAAGGTTAGGAAAAATTAAATTTTTTGTGAGCCATATAATTTCAAATATATTATGGCCTTAGTGGTTAAATTAATAAAATCCACATCCAACAACAAAATTCAATTAAAAAAACCTCTGCTCCAAACGAATATGATATCCAACAATATCCCCAAGCATTTCTCCCCTTTCCAAAGCAACTCTCTTAGCTATTGATATTGCAGGAAGACGTCTAGGTTGAGTGCACATTATTTGAATTGGAGTAGAATTTTCTGCAGCATCCTCCAACAAAAATTGGGGAACCTAAATGTTGGATTCCTTATCTTTCTTTAATTTGTAATTAAAAATCAACCTGAGTAGTTTTCCCGCAACCCGTCCCTCCAGTAATCAAAGTAACAGGATGTTGTTTAATAGAAGCTAAAATTTTGTTTTTGAAATTCCAGATTGGAAGAGAACGTCGAGAAGCAAATAATTGAGCATTTCTTGATGAAGCAGGAGGCGGAATGTTGGTAGATCCAAAATAAAGTTGTTGTTGCTTTGAGAATTTTGTTTTGTGGTTTTTGTTGAAAGCACCCGAATCCTCATTAATTTCAGAACCACACGTGGAATATTGGGAAGATGATGGTGATACAGGCATGGAACTAACAGAACTGTCTGAAAATTATAAAATAAGATTGTATTTCTAATCATTAATTGTGTGGCATACCCCACCAATGAAATAAAAAAACCAAAAATGAAAAAAGTAATCAAAAATGGAAAAATGTATAGCGAACAAATTCCTAAAAGTTTTCGACCGGGGCGTTAAAAAGGAGGGATTCTAGCTTTTTGGTCATCAAAAATGCCGTCGGTTATCCTTTTTCCCAAGGAGATTTGATGATTGAGTCGTTTACAGACCCCATTTTCGTCCCCTGACTTCCTTTCTTCCATACTTCCCCCATTACTCATAATTTTCTAAATACCAAAGGTTAGAAAGGCAGTTGCGATGGGAACCTGGAGACGAAATGAGGAAGTTTTTATTAGCCACCAGGTTCTAATAGCAACTTCTCCCTTCAAATTAATCCAAGATACACTCTGGGTTTAGACAACAGATGGATGTTGCAAAGCCATAAAGCTACTTATTGTTATAATATGCGAAAACACTTTAAAAACACACCCTCTTCATCAAAGTCTTCACCAAAAATATAAACAAGATCCTTCTTGTCAAACGGAAAAACATTCAAATGTCGATCAATACATTGTTCAATCTCACAGCCCAAGTTTATTTCTTGTGATTCATTGACACACGTGAAATACATAATTTTAAAGATTTTATCTAAAAATTCTAAAATTTGCAATTATCAAAGAAAAAAATTCAATAGAAAAACGAAGAACTTAAATAGTAAAACAATTGGTAACATTTCGAATGTAGACATTTCGTTGACAAATTAGAAAAATTTTTTAAAATCTCTAAAATTCATTTCGTCACAAATAACAAAATTGTCCATTTTGTCACAAAGGTATTATTTTGGGACATGCCCGAATAGGCGCGCGGCCATAACGGCTCAAAGCCATAACTTGCTGGAAAATTTCTGGCCCTTATCAATTTTGGTACCAATCTCTTTAGCTCGATGAGAGAAATCGTTTAATACTAAATTTGATAAAATTCGGAAATATTGAGGCAAGTTATGGCTTTGCGCCGTTATAGCCGCGCGCCTACTTGGGTTGTACCCAATATTTTTATTTTAGAAGCTTTGTAATTTTTCTATCAAACTTGACTAATTCTTGTAGTATTCCAGCTTTATTTCAGTAAAATTTATTACTACATATCTGTTAAATTCAACAGAAAATGGCATTATTCTATGAAGCAACTACAAGGTATCTGTCTAAATATAAAATTTTCCTTCAGACACACGAATTTTAAGCCCTTTTCCCTCATTTCCTATCAGAAATTATTTAATCAGAATTAATTTTAATTTAAAAGTGGCCTCAATTTCGACCGTTTTACTGAAGATTTATTTGGGGATTCAACAAAAATGCGTATGAAACAAGCTTTTTGGTCAGCAAAGCAATTATTGAGAGAAAAAATGGGAAAACGTGAAGATGAACATATTTTGGCTGCAGATGCTGAATTGGATTTAAATTTACAACAATTTTATCAAATTAAAGAAAGCACAAAAAGGCTTTTGGATTCTAAGAGTAAATTACATAGAGAGGTTTGCTTTGATGTTTTTAAATGCTCTTTTGGACTTTTGAGATAGTAGATATTGTTGCGGTCAATCTGCAACTTTTTGCGGATTTTCCGCAAATATACATTAGATGTACTCATTAGAGATTGAGATTTTTGAAAAGCATGGCCCTGTTCCGGGGTCTGGGTTTGTATATGGACACATGCCAGGATCCTGGGCCTGTAGTCAAGTAAAACCCCAAGTCCAGCAAAACCCCAGGAAGGTCAAAAATGCCTAGGTCTGGATTCTGGCAACAAGAAAACCCAGGCCTTGGCCCAGACCCAGCTTGATCTCTTTACTCACTGAAAGAGTTTTAGTTTTTTTACAACTGTCATATTTTGAGTAACTTATTTTTTAAAAATAGTTTTCTGATTTATCTCATCTTGAATTTGATATTGCTGAATTATTTCTTGATTGCAAAGATGAGAAGAAACATTTACAAAGAGTAATGCAAATGACCGCGAACAGTTTTGCTCTATGTGCAAAAGAAAGGTTTTTTAAAATATAAAAAATTATCAACATTTTTCAGGCAAAATCTGCTTCTTTTAATTGCACGATTTTATCACGAATTAAATGTAAAAATTTATTTATTTTAATATTTAAAATTATTTTTAAAGGAATTCTATGAGAGAGCTGTTTTAGATTGTGCTCAATCTGTTGAGGCAGTAGAAAAAGCAAGATTGGATTATAGAGGTTCTTTACTATGGATGAAGAAATGTAGCGATGCTTTAGATCCGGAATTGAGAGATTCTAATGGACTGGAGGTTTTTTAAATTAATTTATTATTCCAATTTTCCTGCTATTTGGCCGTCTGCTTTTTAATTATCCTCTTTTCTTGATATAATCCATGATCCAAACAAAAATATGTTTAAATCTGTAAAACTCCACATAAGCACCTTGATGAAGACGCGTTCTCCCCAATGCCATCAACCTCAACTCCCCAAATATCTGGACACGTTCTCCCCTATTCGAAAAGACTAAAAATGGGAACAGATCTATTGTTTAGAAATCTCCACACTTTTTCTATAAAATCTTCTCTTTCTGCAGCGATATAAGAAGAAAATATTTTTTATGTTTCCCATTCCTTCCAGTTTTTTAAAATTATTTTTTAAGGATTTCCGAACTGTTCAAAATGTTGTAAAAACAAATAAGCAAAAATTGGATGTTCTAAAAGAGGATATTACAGTTAAAGTTGATACGTTAAAGAAGGCTAGAATAAAATTATTTGATGAAATTTTGAAAGATTATAAGTCTGTCCTTTTTAAATTTTATGAAAAAACGGCTGATGAATTTACTGCTTGTACCGAAGAAATGGCTGGATTAGAATCTTATGAAATTGACGTTCTTAAAGTATTTTTTAAAAAACTTATCTGGGTCCATTTTTGTGGATAATAGAATATTTGTGGGTGGAAAATTTTATAAACAAGTTTTTACGTTAGTCAAGTAGAGCATCGAACAAGCAAAATATTTTATACTAAATTCATCTGCAAATATTGTACGTAAAATTTGAGGGTAATCTATAAATACTAGGCCCGTAGCTACCATTTATTAAATTTTATTTTTTTTTTATTTTTTCTAAAGATTTTAAATGATCCAATAAAAGTAGCAGAAGAAAAACAAAAAGAAAGAAAAGAAGAAATTGAAGGAAAAAATTCTAATTGGAAATTTTCGTCTAGTGAAAGAATACCTAAAAATCAGTTAAATTGTAGAAGAAGAATGGAGTCAGAAAATAATGAAAGGTTTATTAATTTAAAAATAAGATTTCTCCTTTATTGTTTATTCCCTGACTTTTTGGTAATAATTTTTGCGGATATTTTAAAAATTCTGTTTGCGATTAATGATCATCCCACGTTATGATTTTTAGAGTCGTGAATTTTGACATGAAACTCGAACTTCGAAGGGAATGCTAATTCTCCAAACCTTCCCAAATTTTAATATGCTCTCCTGAAGATATTTGTTACATTTAATACCTTGAATCAACGCATATCCAAGTCACTAGGATTTTTAAGTTTGTGGTACATTCAAAAATTTTTTAGATTATAGATAAATTTTCAAATAAAATTCGATAAATTAAAAGTATGGGAATAAGACATTTTATAACTTTGTCCGCAGTCTTTTGCGGACAAACAGTAAATACCAAAAATAATTTCTTAAAAATATTTTTTTAGTTTAATTGAATTAGACGATGTCGGAGAAGAAACTGAAGTTTGTGAACCTGCAATGGATAGAATTCGTGATTTATTTCGTTTTGATGACGAAAAAGATGAAGAAGAAAATGACGGTTTTGACAATATTGAATTAAATTTGGTTGAACCTCCAAAATTAAATTTATTAAAACATTCAAATGAAATTGGTTTATTATCATTTAATGATGAAGAAGAAGAAAATTTGGAATTTGAGGAACCAAAAAGTGGATCTTCTAAACAAAAGTAATTTTATTAAAAAATTATTGGGTAATAAAATGTTAAAAAATTTTAGATTTTCGGATTTTGGACTTAAATTTCCCAAAAATAAAATTTTTAATAGACAAAATTTTTATTTTTTAAGTTCTTTATTTTTGCTTTAAAAATTAGTTATTCAGTCAAACCTTGCTATTAAATTATCCCCATGAGACTTAAAAATCATATTTTAAAGTGAGAGATATTTAATTGATATTTTGAGAGTACTACTTTGAAATTAGAATTAGTTATTTAGTCGAGCGGTGGTCAACCAAAATTAAAAATCTAATTTAAATTGGGGATACAACAACCGTAAATATATTTTTTTATTTTTTAGACGCAAAAAGAGTACTGATCTATTGCTGGAACTTGAGAAGACTTTAACAAAAGAAGAGCCTAATAATGATTTTTTAAAATCTGTTTCCAATAAAAACGGGGACTCTAGTAGCAACAACAATAAAAATGAAGAGAATGGTTAATTTTAATTAATTTTAAAATAATTTTTTTTCTATTTTTAAGCTAAAATAGCCAAAAATCCTAATGTTTTATTGGAAGAAGCTGACTTTGAAGATTTATTGAATTTATAGATAAATTTGGTGTAGTAGAAAATGAATTTAAAATTGCTTTAATTTAGTAAATTTTTAGATATAAAAATGTTTTTTTAATTTGATACTCATATTTTTAGTTTTTAATTTTATGCTCCAGTTTACTATTAGTAAATTGTAATATTCTAAAAAATGTGTAATATTTTTAAACAAATAAGAAATAATGTAATAAATTAAAAAAAAAGCGAGAATTAATAAAGTTACGGATCTTGGAAAATCTTAGAATATCGTGGGGGTTTTCGACATTTTTTCCTATACGATTCAGACTTTACAATGGTTTCCCTTGACAAATTAGTGTGTGTGTTTTATCGTTTTATTCTGTTTTGTTTTAGGTGTCAAATACTGCTAAAGTGGGTACAGCCCAAAACTGCGCGAGCCAAAACTGCGCGACCGAAACTACGCGACCGAAACTGCGCAGGCCAAAACTGCGCAAGCCCAAAACTACGCAGGCCAAAACTGCGCAAAACTATTTAGTAAAAATAAATAAAGAAAAAAATAAAAACATTCTCATAACGGACAAGTCAGCTAACCGCAAAATACTTAAACGGATTTGACTCCGGCACAAGATACACCAAAAAATCATCCTGAAAGTCGCGCGATTTTGGTAATTCCTCAGAACTACCAACGTTATGAATATGAACCTGGAAAGGAGGTGAGCAGAAAATACTTGTTTTTGGTCGGGCAAGTTCTGAAGGTTTTTAGACTAACTAGTTAAAGGAAACTAACTAGTCTCTTTATTAAGCTTGGTCACATCTTATTGAAGACTAACTAGTTAAATCAAAATTTTTGTTGTAAAACTATGTTATTTTCCTGATTTATTATCCTGGTTATTGAATTTTTTGTTAGAATGTTTTACATTTAATAAATTTTGATGAACACCGAATTTTAAAAATCGGCAAAAAAGACGGAAATCGATGGGAGAGATCCTATCCATGCTAGTTAGTTTGCGCAGTTTTGGCCTGCGTAGTTTTGGGCTTGCGCAGTTTTGGCCTGCGCAGTTTCGGTCGCGTAGTTTCGGTCGCGCAGTTTTGGCCCGCGCAGTTTTGGGCGTGTCCCTGCTAAAGTGATTTTACAACGCAGTATGACAATGGGTCCTACATACTCTTTTATTTATTTAAAGGACTGTACAAGTACAGGACAAAGTTTGTGTTTTGATGGATGGACAGGGGACTCAGCTCGACGAGCTCTTTCAAATGGTATAACATTTGTTTATCAAGCTCGGCACCCATAAACTAAAGTGACCCCCTAAATACCACAAAATTCCTATAGGACCGCAATTTTTTGATCACCTACAGGCCGAATAACACCAGAATCATCTCGATATGATGATTCTGAAAAAATTACGACCAATTGAATCTTCGCTGGGAAAGATCTTTGTACTGCTACGAAGGTAGAGGACACTATCTAAATTACAAAAGTAAGAAACTATTATCTAACATTTTGCATTCTTTGCCCAAATATTTGTCAAAATAAGAAATTTTTATTGTATTGATCAAATTTAATGATTAATTTTCAATCGTTTATTTTTAAAAATATGAAAACAATTTGTAGAAGATTATACATACAAATTTATGCAACAACGTTTTCACTTTACCATTCTGGGGTAAAACGAGCTTTGCCCACTTTGATTATAGTATTCTTTAGCTCGATGAGTGGAAACGTTTAATATAATTTTGCTAAGGTTCGAAAATCTTGAAGTACGTTTGGCTTTGCGCCGTTATGGCGCTCGCCATTTTGGTTTCCCATATTTGAAGGAAAAAATATGTGGCATTAAAATAGGAGGAAAAATAAACGATTGACGGTAAAAAGGAAAACTAATCTACGACTCAAATAGGAGTGGGGGGCGGGATATTAATAAAGTACCAAAAGGGGAAAACTAATTAATAGAATTGATAGATGCTTTTATGGATCACAGAACAAATTTTAACATTTTCAATCTATATTTGGTTTTCCTTCTCTAAGATTTTTTGGCTAATCAAAATTCCCACGGACAGAATTAACTTAGAGACTCGATTATTTACCAAAGGCGTAGTCAGGGAGATGAGGGCGAGGATTTCGCTTTAGACTTCCAAAATAAAAAAATTTTCGCCTACGGCCTGAAAAAATAAAAACATTTGTATAAGAAAAAATATATATATATATATAGTATATAATTTGCAATCGGAAAGTCAAAGTAAACACCAAAATTTTGGCGCACTACCCATTTTAGCCTCCTGAAATCGAACCCTGACTACGTCCTTGTTATTTACATCTTCAGCTTGTAATTATTCAGTACATTAACAGTCATATTTATTTTAATTTTATTTTACTATATTCTGTGGTTATTTCAAGTTTCTTTTAATCTTATGCCCAATTTTATTTATTTTATTACCTTTAATTTCATGATGGTCTGGCTTGTCGCAAAACGCTTTAGAATTGTACAAGAATTCGATGCTTGGGCGTACCGGGTAGAATTTTATCAAATTTGGGCACCTAGCCCACCAAATGTTCAAACGATGTATGGAGTGAACCATTTTTATGTTTGTGGAGTTAGTTTTATTTTTTAACCTAATTTTGGGGTTGATTAAACTAAACTTATTAGTTCTTAAAACTTTTTAGTTTGGTTTTCTTTTCTATTTTCTCGTGTCAGAACCAAAATTTAAGTTTTTAACGCCGCAGGCGATAATTTGATTTCCATTGCCTATGAAGCCATACATTCCAGCGCTGCTGACAAAAATTATTTTAAAAACTAAACAAAATTTATTTATATTAGCAAGAGGGTTGTCCAGCGGAAATAAAAGTATTTTTCCATTACGACTGGCGTGTTACCGTTTTTGAGAAGTTTGATCACATACATTTGTTACCCGATAATTATGTTTTGACTCAACAACAACGTGAAAATGACGGAGGTGTATTAATTTCAATTCATTTTTCTAATTAAAAAACATTTAGGATAGAGGAGGAAGTTTTGGAAGATGGACCAGCGGTGCTGGTCACGCTTCGAGTTTGGCTGGTGCCGGCCCCAGCGGCACTGGATTTCGCTTTCTATCCTAAATGTTTTTTAGAAAAATGAATTGAAATTAATACACCTCCGTCATTTTCACGTTGTTGTTGAGTCAAAACATAATTATCGGGTAACAAATGTATGTGATCAAACTTCTCAAAAACGGTAACACGCCAGTCGTAATGGAAAAATACTTTTATTTCCGCTGGACAACCCTCTTGCTAATATAAATAAATTTTGTTTAGTTTTTAAAATAATTTTTGTCAGCAGCGCTGGAATGTATGGCTTCATAGGCAATGGAAATCAAATTATCGCCTGCGGCGTTAAAAACTTAAATTTTGGTTCTGACACGAGAAAATAGAAAAGAAAACCAAACTAAAAAGTTTTAAGAACTAATAAGTTTAGTTTAATCAACCCCAAAATTAGGTTAAAAAATAAAACTAACTCCACAAACATAAAAATGGTTCACTCCATACATCGTTTGAACATTTGGTGGGCTAGGTGCCCAAATTTGATAAAATTCTACCCGGTACGCCCAAGCATCGAATTCTTGTACAATTCTAAAGCGTTTTGCGACAAGCCAGACCATCATGAAATTAAAGGTAATAAAATAAATAAAATTGGGCATAAGATTAAAAGAAACTTGAAATAACCACAGAATATAGTAAAATAAAATTAAAATAAATATGACTGTTAATGTACTGAATAATTACAAGCTGAAGATGTAAATAACAAGGACGTAGTCAGGGTTCGATTTCAGGAGGCTAAAATGGGTAGTGCGCCAAAATTTTGGTGTTTACTTTGACTTTCCGATTGCAAATTATATACTATATATATATATATATTTTTTCTTATACAAATGTTTTTATTTTTTCAGGCCGTAGGCGAAAATTTTTTTATTTTGGAAGTCTAAAGCGAAATCCTCGCCCTCATCTCCCTGACTACGCCTTTGGTAAATAATCGAGTCTCTAAGTTAATTCTGTCCGTGGGAATTTTGATTAGCCAAAAAATCTTAGAGAAGGAAAACCAAATATAGATTGAAAATGTTAAAATTTGTTCTGTGATCCATAAAAGCATCTATCAATTCTATTAATTAGTTTTCCCCTTTTGGTACTTTATTAATATCCCGCCCCCCACTCCTATTTGAGTCGTAGATTTATGTCGGAATACTATAATCGAAGTAGGCAAAGCTCGTTTTAGGTCAGAACGGAAAAGTACGACAATATTTTATCCACAAATTATTTTTACCATATAATTTTATGCGCAAGTAACATGGAAGTAATACGGAAAATGTATGGACGTTCGTAAAAAGAAAATATTTTAATTGCAAAAGTCCCTGATTTAGTGATTAAAAAACGTTTTTTTAATTTGTAAAATATATGCTTGTGGATAAAAATTGCGAACAAACTCAAAAGCAGTAACTAAACAAATATAATAAAAAAACGAAGATTTATCAAAAAAATTTTTACTGACAGTGAGAATGAAGGTGTGGTAGTAGCATCCAGTAGTAGTAGCCAATTTCTTTGAGCCTGAGCTAAAGCCAAATCCTGCATCAATTCTCCTCTCTTTCAGTTCGATATCTTCATTTTCCTCCTTTTCTATTCTTTCTTCAGTCATTTCTGCATCTTCTTTATGTTCCTTCTTTTCTTCTTTTTCTTCCTTCATTTCTGTATCTTCCTTTCGTTCCTTCTTTTCTCTTCTCTCCTCTTTCCGTTCATCTTTACTCGACACTTTCATCTCCTTTTCTTCTTTCTTTTCACCAATTTCTTCTTTTCTTTCAGTTTTTCTTCCTCTTCTTTTATCCTTTTCACCATTTCTTTCTTCTTTTTCTTCCAAAGCATGGTGACGAGGATTGAAGTAGGGCTTACTGAAATATTTTTTGAATGATTTAATGAATAAAAAATCAAAACCTTCGACGATAATTACCTCCAACAGCTCGAGATGATCTTCGAGAAAACTGATGTTGAGGAGATGGGGTTCTTCTTTCAGGAGAAATTGAGTACCTCCTCTTGTATTGACGCTAAAAATTAAATCAGAGTTAACAATTCAATTAATTCATAAAAAATACATTTTGTTGTTGACTGTCCTTCATACGGAAGAAAGAAAGCCAAACTTGTGTTATTTCACTGTCAGGTACATGAGGGCCAATAGGTCGAATAGTTGTTGACTGATATAGAATGTTTGATGCAAGTGGAGGATTTAACGGCCTTACACCACCAATATTCGCCAACAAATTTGAAGAGATTGAAGTTCCAATAATGCCTGAATGGTCTTGTCCAATTCCAGGAGGCTTAAAAGAGAAAATACAAAAAATCCTCAAAATTCCTTACAACTAATCCAGTAGTAACAGGAGTAACTTAACCAGGCGGTCGCAATTCCGTGTTTATACCTTCATCCGTTTGTCTTTGTTGTGACTGAATAACTGCATCAGAAGTATTTGACAAAGGGGAAGAGAAGGATATCCACCACCACTTTGCCCCGAAGATGCAACTGCAAGAAAAACCGCTCTAGGCCATTGTTGATTAAAAATTCCCCGATCACTTGATTTCTTCATCATCAATGTGAAAATGAGGTAGAAGAGAAGTGAAATTACCAATGGACAGCTTTTGTACCAGTGACCAGGTTGAGCACAACGATTGCAAACATAAGTCGGTGGAGGAGGTCCAGACATGATTCCAATTGCTCGTCTTTGGTAGCTAAATTAAAGCAAAAAGTAGAAAATCAAAAATAAATGAAACTTTGCAGCGCTGTATTTCTCCGCAGAAACTTGTTTTACATGGGCAATCCTTTGTTCTTCAATAAGCTTCGAAAAATCATCCTAAAAATTATAATGGGCAAAATTCCGTTTCATGTCACGGAACCAATTAAGACAAACAATAAGTCATTCGAAAGAACCAACGAGCTAAGTCAAGCGACATAAAAATTAAGCTCGGGTAGCAATTATGGATCGAGACAAAAGTTGCTGAAATCTAAAAAACTACAGAGGGGCCAAGGGCATTTCTGGGGCCTATTGTTTGTCCGAATTGGTCTACGGGGCACATGATGGAAATTTTAAAGTTTGAAGACTTCAAAGATAAATTTAATCAAACCGGACTAATGCCGTGACTAGAGATCAAGCTGGGTCTTGACCAAGGCCTATGTTTTTCCTGTACTCCAGAGTCCAGGCCTCAGCATTTTTGACCTTCTTGGGTTTTCTCTGGGCCTGGGTTTTTCCTGAACTACAGGCCCAGGTTCCGGACCAAGTCAATAAATCAAACACGGAACCCAGGAACAGACCCAGGCACTCGAACTCCATTAATAACTTCCAAAAATTAATTTTAAAACAAACCGGACTAATGTAGGTCGTAGACTGAAAAACGACTGCAGAACGTTGAACAATCCCGCTATTTGCTGTATCCCTCAAATAAAAAGATTTTTTACTTAAAAATTCCCTTGAAAAGGCTTACTGGACTTTGGGTAATTTCAAAGCATTATCTCTCGGCAATCTTTGAACGACCACAGAAGAATTTCTTGGGACCAATTCCCCCGTCGTATATTCTCTTTTTGTGCGGGCATTTGTGATCAACAAATCAAGGATTCTGTTCGAATATTTTCTTTATCGCATATTGCTTCTTCCACGCCTATATGGAGGCCATCAAAAGTTAAAGTTTTGTATTCTATTAATTTTAAGATTAAATTTTTTAAGAAAAGGAAGAAAGAAAAAAACAGGGCGGGGTGTATGGGGGGAAAACTACACAAGTCGAAAAAATGCCTCACACCATTGAGGTGGGACAACAAAATAATCTCTAATACACTAAAACCTCGAAAATTTAATCAAAAAGATCTCAGGAAAATTTCCCTAGCAAGAAAAAATAAATTTGTTGCAAATAAATGGTACTTAAATTTCTAAAAACTTTCGAAGTGTGAAAATAGTATAGTAATATAAGAGAGACATTATAGAAGCAGAGATAATTTTTATTTCCGCCATTATTCTAGAATATTCTGGGGATCTTTGAGTCCTGACTGTTGAACCCTGAGCCATATTTTCGGTCATAACTTCGTGAGTTTTTGATCAATTCGAGTAAATTTTTTATCAATCGAAAGCCCTGGATAAGAGGATTATTTTTGCCAACAGCATTAATTTAATCAGATTATTCTGCAGAAAGTTATACTTAGATAAGTGCGCGCAATCGTGATTTTTGATACTTTTTCGGCTGTAACGTTTTGTATGATGATCTGATTAGATCAATCCTTTTGGATGAAATAATCCATAGATGAAGTGCTTTCAATTGATATATAAATTATTTAAATCCATTGAAAATCAAAAAAGTTATGGCCCAAAATATGGCCCAGTGTTTAATAGTCAGGACTCAACTGGGACTTATCGATTTTAAACAAGAGAAAATAGTGTGTTAATATAAGAGAATTAGTTAAACAGACAGTTTTCTTTAAATTACGCCATTTTGGTGCCCGTGTCAGAGCGCCGTTTCTTGGGCTTCTTTTTAATTTTTCTTTCGTTTTTCTAAAAATTTTTTTCGGTAATAGTGTCGTTTCCCGGCCCCATTTTTTCTCCCCAATTTTTTACCCTATGTTTGTACGGAATGGTCAAATTTTCCCCTTTCTTTCATCAAATTTGCCTTTCCATATTTTGCCTAAAATCAATCAAAAAGATTAATTTGTGATATTTTCCGCACTTCTTTTCCCTTCTATAATAGCCAGAAAACATTTTTCATGCTTGGTGTTTCTCCTTGTGAAAGAACTGAATAAAAATTAATCTTTTTGATTGATTTTAGGCAAAATATGGAAAGGCAAATTTGATGAAAGAAAGGGGAAAATTTGACCATTCCGTACAAACATAGGGTAAAAAATTGGGGAGGAAAAAATGGGGCCGGGAAACGACACTATTACCTTTTTTTCCAACTACTTTTAGGATTTTAGATAGATAAAAGCTTAGTTAGCTGTTTAAATGCAACGAAGTATTGGTGTCTGCTTTTGTTGGTCAGATTTGGAGAAGAGGCGTAAAGCTATTGACCTCTATGTTCAACGTCAATTGGAAGTTGTTGATGGAATTCCCAAAAAGGTTTTTTTCGATTTTTAATTTTTAATTATTTTTATAAGGTATTTTATGAGTGTGGAGCTACTCCAACAAATTGCAAATATAATGTTACCGCTGTAAGAAATGAGGCTACTGGACATTTTGAATTATTTGAGATGGGGGAACATTCTCATCCGATCCGTGCCAATATTTCTAGCGGTTTGTTTTTTACGTGGATACGTTTATTTTTTAAATTGGGCTAGTATTCGACATAGTTTTTTGTCTCCGAAAATAGATTGAGAAATTTTATAGCCACGTGAAGGCGCTTTAATTTTGGCCTTCAAATTTTCGGCTTTCGAATTTCCTATGGATTTGCTTTCCATACGAAATACAAATCTTTCCGAACCCTAAACTGAGGAGCCACATAAAGTGTGATACTTTTAGAATTACTTGTTTAATGGATATGTTTAGGCGCCGGTCTTGCAAACTTTTTTATCTCTTATTGAGATACGATGAAATAAGTTGGGTCATTTTAGCACTCGATAGTTGATATTTTATCTTCTCGGTCCTATAGTCAAAAAAGCTTTTTCAGGTATTCTTGTTGATCAGACCAATCCTATTTGTCCACAGCCACTTACTCAAAATGTAATTTCTACAATTAAATCTACTGAACCCTCAACTGAGGAACCACAAAAAGTGGCAACTAAAGGTTTTTTTCTAATCCTCATTAAATCAAAATATTTTTTTCATTTTAGAAGAAAAACCATCAACAAAAGAACCAAAGAAGGAAAAACAAGTTGCAGCAACTTCTAAGCGTAAATCTTCGCCTAAACCGAAGAGGTCTATGCCACCTAAGAAACTTGCAAAGTTGACGGATGATGATACTAAAAGGCGTGATTCATCAAGTGAAAGCATTAAATCAGAAATGAGTAAATTTTTTGAATTTTGAATGAATCAATAATTTCTTTTATTCATTTAAAGCTTCAACAACCAGCGGTTCTAGTATTGGTTGGAATTCAAAACGTAAGATGCTTCCGCGTGCTGCGAAGATGAACATCATTAATTCTGAAAAGCGGGCTTCGTTAAATGTATTATTTTACCCATTTTCATCAAAACCTAGTCTTTTGAGTTCTCTCTTCTCGTACTTTCTATATATAGGAAATTTAAAAAAACCTTGATTCTATTGAGAACCCTCACCAGATTCTTTACCTTGTTATCAAGGAAAAATTAAGTAACACTGAAAACTGTTTTGGGAAATTATTCAAGAAAGACGTGACTGACCATTCCGTACAAAAAGTATAAAGTGGACTGTTGGGCCGGGGGAGGAAATAAGTACCCAGCCTTGATCTTGACTTTGGATCCAGTAAAAATCAAGTTCTGGATTCAGATCCAAGCCTATCTTTAATAATTTCTTTTTAGCTACAATTTAAAAAAATATTATATTGCTAAATTTTCAGCTTCTCATGTCGCCATGTGAACCTATGACAAGATCGCGTGCTCGAACTTTATTGGATAAAAGTAATTCTGCTAAACCTGTGGTATTTTTATTTTGTAATTTTTTTTATTAAATTATTTTTATTAAGCATGTTCCCAAAAGGATTTTGTCGGCTCCCAAACTTTCTGTTGAGAACAAACCAAAGTCTGCATTAAATAGAGGAATGAAGCGCTGTGTGGTCTATTCATCTTCCTCCTCTTCCGAAAAAAGTCTTCCTAAAAATGAGCCAGAAGTGGATGTTCTTAGTTCTTCCTCGGAAGATTCAATTGTATGTGATTTCTTTAAATTATTTTTCTTCGGCTGTCTGGCATTTAAGGCATCTGTTTGCAACTAATCTTTTAACCCCTATAACTTTTCGAAATGGGGGTCTGAGCCAAAAAAGCCGGAAACACAAGAGGTTTGCGACTATGCTCTTCACGATGGTATTTTTATGAAAAATCACAATTCGAAATGTTCCCTTGTAACCCCAAGAACAAACGCCGTTTTTTAGTCAATGTTTAGGTTTTTTGTTCTCAAAAATTTTTCTGTCTCGTATTAATTTAGTTTGCCCTCTAAAATATTTTTTATAAGTATTTTTCAAATTTAAATCTCCAGTTTTCTGTTTAATTTTTCAGTCTAATTTCACGGCCAAAAATGATTTTCCATCATCTTTTCGTTCAAAAAAGTGTGGAATTCTTTGGAATCGAATTGCTACAGTTTTTGGTGATGATGCGCTAACAAAATTTCAACAAATTAATCATATGCGTTCCTACAAACGTTTAATTTGGAAGTGTAATTTGGAGCCACGAAGCAATGAATATCGAAATAATTGTCAATATATGTAATTTATTAGTTTTTAATAAGACTTTTAATTGAGCTTCGATTAAAATACCTTTGGGACTGGGGGTTATTTTAGTCGAAAATCAAAATTATCTGAATCGGAAAAAATCGAAATCTGTCGATATAAAACAAAAAAAGACTGAAAATCCTCCGTCGTAGCTCACACGAAAACATCGGATACCGTGTACAAAAATTTAGTAATTTTTTTGGTACCGAGCGACTTCTCAATAATAATTCGATGGTCCTCTATCAATTGGTACCAAAAAATTACCAAATTTCTTTACAAGTACTTGATGTTTCGTTGTCAGATTAGGATGGGAGAAATTGATTTTCTTGTTTATCATTGTTAAATTTTTTTAAATTTTAAGTTCCGTTTCCTATTAACACTTCACAAGAAATTTTTTTTAAATTTATTTTAGGATGCGCGTCCTTCCTAAAAAGGATAAAAATTCAAATATGTATTATGTCTACTTTTCTGGCGTTCATAATCCTTCTTGTAAAAAATTTCAAAATGAAGATCCTAAAATTAGAGATTTAAAGAAAACTGCCAGTATCAATCATTTAGAGATTAATGAAGATAAAAATGACATTCAAGTCCATTCAAAACGTCAGGCTGCAATTACCGCTTCGAGGAAAATTTCTGGTTTTTTTAAAATTAAATTATAAAAGAATTTTGAAATTTTTGAAGGTCAAAGTGAAAATACCAAAAAGAGAACAATAAAGACACGTTCCTTAATTGAATTGGATTGTACGAGTTCTGAAGATTCTGAGGTTTAAAATTTTTTTAGATTTTACACTTTTTTATCATTTATTTTAGAATTTTACTAAAAATTCTGAAAAGTCAAAAGAAACTTCGATTGAATCGGATGATGAACCAGCAGCTATATTCATTCAACACACCTTCAATAAACCTCCAACAGAAAATAACTCTAATAGTAAGAAGACAGTTTCTATTTCTGATCGTCATGAAAAACTCAAAAGAAATGAAAGTTTGGTATTTCAATCGCCAACATCTAATGATTTAAATGGTTTAAATATTTTTTTGTACTTTTTAAGCTTATTTTCCCCCTTTCTCTGGTTTCTTCTAACTCAATAAGTTGATAACTAGTCGACTTAAAATAGAATTTTTTATAATATTGTTAGGATATTGGTCTCGATTTTTTGATCTATCGCGGCAAATGCCCCGATATCTGAGAGAAATAGAGTAGCAGTGGGTTGAAAAAACTTACGGACTTATTAGCTTGTTATGGACTAATATTTAGCTTGATTCATGGTTTGGGGGATTTGATCTCATGTCAAACTACCTTAATATAACTGTATGGGGTCAAATAACTTTTTATGTCATGATCAGGGTCTGATCGGAATTCCGATTTCCGTTTTTCCTTGCCTTTTTTTCTTTTGATTTCCGAGTCCCGACTTTTAGGTAATTTCCGATTTCCGACACCTTCTTTATTTCCGATCGATCTCTGGTTAAGATTAATTTCAAATGTTAGATAGAAATAAATTGGCACTGGGGAGAATAAATCTATGAGGACCTCTCTTTTAAATTAATCACAATTATTTAATATAAAAAAAATATTTTAGAAACATTTCCTCAATTAATTCCTCCAACCTTAATTTCTTCTTCTACTCCAATTAATAGCAATAATAAACAAAATTTAAATTTATCTTCATCAAATATTCGTTTAAATCCAGCTCCAATAATTACTTTAACTCCTTCAGAAACTCCACGTAGAAGTTTGGAAAATGCGGCGGAAGAATCTACAGCAACATTAATTATGTTGGATAATTCTCCAAAAATGGATTTACCTAGAGATTGGAAATTTAAATTGGAAAGTGTTTTTGTACAAATGAATCAATTGGCTGAAGATCTTCATTTAAAATTTACTTGCAAAGGGTTTTCTTTTAAATTTTTAGGATAAACATTTGTATTTATTTTTAGTTTAAATTTGGGAGTATTTTCGTCAAATGAACAAAGCCAAACTGGACAAGTGCTTGTTTTAAATGATCAAATAGAAGATGATGTTTTTGTTAAAGTTTCGGAATTTGGCGATTGGAAATTAATTTGTGAGGAAATGTGGCCGAAAGTAAATTTAATTTTTTAAGGATTAATTAAAAGGGCTAAGACATTTGTGGACAGAAATGATTATTTTTGAGTCCCTTGTCTGTCTTTTCTGAGTTCCCACTTTTGTGATGGAAAGTCGATGAGGAATGGGAGAGATAATCGCTTACGATTTTTGTTTTTTGGATGTTATTTTTTGACTTTTATTAACTATGTTTATTTGTACTTCCAAATATCCCTCTATCCCACGCGACTCTTGTATACCAGAAATCTAGCCGACATAAAAATTAAATTCCCGATTTTGGGAATCGGAAACTACTCAAAAACTTTTTAAATCATTCTTTTTATAGGCAGGTGTTCGTCAATTTTTATATGCTGTACGTGGAAAGCTTATTGAATTTTTCTTTGTCATTCCTAGTTCGCCACCTGGAGGGAGTGAAATAAATACAAATGATGGAAAATCTTTGGTTATTTTTATTTTTAAAAATTTTATTTTTAATTTTGTTTGAAGGTTAGCGAAATTAATTCGGAAGGAACTACAACAGCAACTTCGTCCTCTGTCCAATTTAAACGTGAAAATACTGAAGATCTCTCAACTGTTGTTTCTTTCGAAGGAGATTTTGTTGGAAAAGATAAAGAAGGAAATTTAGAAATTTCTGTTCAGGTAAATATTCAGGTATTTTTAATTATTTAATTGAAATTATTGTTTGATTGAACCAGGGATCGCGCCAACAGAAACCAAATTTTTGGGAATTCACGATTTTAGTGAATCGGGCCGGCGCGTTCCCTGGTTGCACAAAATTGGCATTAATACAAAAAAAATTTTTGCGAAATTTTTTTGTGGTTTATGAAAATCCAAAAGCTGATGATAACGTAGAATAATTATTTTTCAAAACAAGTTGAGCCAATCTAGGCTTCATCATAAAAAGACACAAACCCAAAATTCATAAATGGAAATAACCTAAAACCGAGACAACTTTTTATATTTGACCCACCCTTTTTTGTAATTATTTAAAAGGACAAAACGTCCAAAGCTTTGGTTTGTTTGGCCTAGGAAAGTAATATACTGAATTTTGTCTTTCCTCTATTTTCCTTTAAATACAAGTCGTTCGTGTTCATGCGCCAACAAAATTTGGCCTTAGGGTGTCGTTCTTATTATCAAGATTCAACCTTAATTACAAAAAAAGGGGGTGTGGATCAAATATATCAAACATATTTTTCTAAAATTTAATTTTATAATTTTAGCGTATTAATCAAAAAAATGTTGATGAGAATATCTCAGTGCCTTCAGAATAAATTATTGTGCAATTCTGATATTTTGCAATAAATTAAAGGAAAGAAAGGGAGAGGGTAATTAAAGTTCAGGGAATTCTTATTTAATTTTAATTTAAATACCAAAAATTTATTTGGGCTTTCAATTGATATTTTCTTTGTATTTTTCTCCTATCTAATACTTTATTTTTGTCCTATATTTTTGCCCTTTTAATTTATTTTTAAATAAAAGTTGGTAGTTAATTTTATGTTTATTTTTTGAAAAATAATTTTTCGTTATGATATTAGGAACTTGGAATCGTATGGTTTTGAGAGTCAACTCCGGAGATAGCTCCTTCCGGAGCCGAAGCTAGGATTTTGAAATGCCCGGAGTCGACTTGATTACGGCAACCGTAGTCACATGATGTCAAATATCCACTGACCATGATTAGGATATTATAACCGAAACTCATTTTTAGTTATCCCCACTCGATGTTTAAGAATCGTATCTCCTAATTAGTACCCTAAATTGTAGATATTTTTTTGATTGCTTCACTCACCAAATTAAATAAAAATGTATTTTAAATTGTGGATGTATCCTTAAATAATTATTATAAAGACTTACAAAGGAGAGGTGTCCGTGGGCTTCGGGATGAAATTTGGTAGACAGATAGACCCTTCTTTAGTTGTGAAATTTGCACTATTTCCGCTGTGGGGTATGGTGGCCCAAGTTTTATAAGCCCCCAAGGTTTTAGGTAGGTTGAATAAACAATTACCTAAAAAATTTTTAATTTAAAATTTTGTTATTTTTTAAAACAATTCAAATAAAATAATGTTTGTTTATCAATAAAAAATTAAAAATCTAATTAATCTTAAATTTCAATGTTAATTGCGTTTTTATTTACTGGCCTTGAACATTTTAATGTTAACAAATAAAATCACGTCTTTTATTTGTTAAATAAATTTAACGCGGAAATATTAATTTTTTATTCCCTCTATTTTTTTTATAATTTTTAATAAGTAACACATATTCATTTAATAATTTAGGAATAAATTAAAAAAAATAATTTTTAGAAAATGCTACAAATAAATTCACAATTCCTTCTCTTACATTTTAATTTTATTTTGCCAATTATTATTGCGATTATTGGAATATTTGGAAATTTATTAGTTCTTTTGACTATTTTAAGATCAACAAGTCTTCGAAAAGTAATTTTTTGAATATATTTTTGAGGTCTGGTTAGGGTTATGGATTTTAATATTCGTTGACGGCTATATCGTAAGAGTCATATCCGTATACACTTATTTATTTGCCCCTTTCAGTTGGTGTCGGATATATCCACATATTCTCAAAACTATCAATCCTTCAAAATGGAAGCAGGCAGTGTAACTTTGTTCAAAATTGTTGAATCTGGCGCTCTGGTATGGTTCGATTCAGTTGGTCGAGCCGCAACGAACCAAACCAGGGCGCCATGGATTCGACAATTTTGAACAAAGTTATAGCTCGGCGGTACATTGGGGTGTACCCCTTCAAAACTTGGATAAGGGTGGCCATTACTAGAATTGGCAGATTCACACGTTATAGTTGAAAGTTTTGGAGTTAGGGGCGGGGCGGGGCTGGACGCAACTGAAAAATTTTCCGCAGCCGCATTTTTAACTTTAAAATCAGCAGCCGAAGTCCGCAGTTTGCAATCCGCAGTTGCGTTCAGCCCTGATCGGGGTCCAACCTTAGTTTAGGTGCATTATCGAATTTAATTTACTTCGTCTTTGTTGTCTTAAATAGTTTCTCAAAATTACTCAATTCTCACACCCATCTCCACTGATATCCAAATATCATCCCTGACCAGATCTGATTGTTTAAATAATTTATTAATAAAAACAATTTTCAAAGAATACTTTATTTAATTATTTAATTGTTTTGCTTGGTTCCAATTCTTTATTACTTACAAGTGTGGTTATTGGACGTTTTCCTCAAATAAGAAATATTGGCTATTTTGTTTGTTTTGTTAAAGATTATTCCTGGAATTTTCCAATTTATGTTAGTAATTTAACTGTGACTTTTGTGGCTATTGAACAATTTTTGTTTATTTTTTGGCCTGAAAAAATGCTTAAGGTATAAAATTAAATGTGGGGAAAGTGTTGATGAACAGTTTTAAAACACGAAGAATTTTGTATTTTTTGATAAGATTATAACGATGAGAAAAAAATTAGGGAGGAATGTCAATCCACTGCAGTGTCAATTATTAGAATTGGCGGATCCTAGGAAATTTTCGGATATCTGAATTTATTTTCGATTCGGATATTTAGAATCGCTAACCCTCCTATAACTAAACGTAATTTTCTTGATTTGACTTTATGAGACTTCTAATTGTTAGTTATGTAAATCATTACGTAAAGCATTAGGCGGCGTGGGTAATGAATAACACGTCAGTCCGGTCTCCTGAAGATGCTGGTTTGCTCCCACCTGCGAATAACCTTTTGCACTTGCTGAAGGAAAGAAATAGCTCTCTGATTTACTGTTATAGCCCTGTGGTAGTTTAAGCTGTGCTAGACTGGTAAAGGTTGTAAATGAGAAAATAAATAATTAAAGGAAATTTTTCTCGAAAATGAAATTGTATTTAATTCCTGAAAACCCTTCTTGAACAACTCCTTTTTTAAAAATAAAAAAATTAATTAAAAATAATTTGTTTTTCCAGTTTTCCCGTTCTACTCGTTTAATACCAATTTTATTAATTTTATTATTTTCATTAATTATCAATTTTAATTTATTTTTTGTATTGGAATATAAAAATAATAATTATAAAAATAATTTAACAACAAAAATTTCAACAAATAAATGTATTTATAATAATCATTTACCTTTAGCTAAGGTAAAAAAATTTTTGAAAAAAATTTATTAAAAAATTAATTTTTTAAAAAGCCATTTTTTCTTCTTCCACGAATAATTTTAACTTTTTTAATTCCGTTAATTGTCGTTTTGAGTTGTAATTTTGCAATTATTATGAAAATGAGAAAATTAAATATTTCTGGAGTTAATGAAGGTGGGGGAATAGAAAAATTTTTAGCTCTAGTTTAGGACATGCGTCCCATGGTAATGTATGCGTCCCGTGACAGGTAAGCGTCCCAAAAAAAGTTTTGGGACGCATACACTTTTTTAGAACGTATGTCCTAAATAGTAGCTAAAAATTTTTTTAAATTTTGAAGAAAATATTTTTCTGTTAATATTCTTAAAAAGCGTTTGTTCACTTCCAAGGCATGATAATTACGGATATAAAATAAAAATTTTTATATAGTTTTTTCGGAAATCGTTTAGAAGTTGTGCCATGGTGGGTTGTTCATCCGACAGCCAGCACCTCAAAACTGATTGTCACTCCAGTAACTTAAATTTTATATCCACAAACGTCATCTCTCGCAATAGATTTTACCAAACTCAGTCATTCCGAAACTATTATAAAATTATTTTGAAGTTTAACGATACTGGACATAATAATACCGACATTATCTATGATCAGAGAAATCTGAGAAATTTTATAAAATAATAAAAAATACCTATCTGAGAAAATAAGACCCAATATCATGGTCACTTTTAAGGCTAAATTTTATCCTCAAATATTTTAATATTTAGAATTAAAAAATTTTATTTTTCAAGCAAAACCGACCAAAAAAGAAAATGGAAACAAAATTTTATTTACCGTATTTTTTGTATTAGAGCCCCACGCTGTATTAGAGCCCCACGCTGTAATAAAGCCCCACTTTGGAGGATAGTTGAAAAATAGAGCCCCACGCTGTATTAGAGCCCCACGCTGAAATAGAGCCCCACGTTTTAAAATTTACCTATTGTATAATAAATTGTTAATTTTTAATACTATACTGTTTTTTTCTTTTATTTAATGTTCTGTGCCAATGTTAGAGATTATATGTGATTAAGAGGATATTTGGGGATTAATAACGGTCCTCTCCAATAAAGGGATTCCTCCCCAATAAAGGGATTTGGACGTTATAGGAGATATCAGGAGATTCCTCTATATGCATACTGGTAAGCATAGATATTGGCGAGATCAGCTTAGTTATCAGCAGATCCGTCTCAGAAATCCTCCGATATCTGATTAATCCCCAAATCATTAATACTCTCCAAATCACTTGATATCCATATTAATCCCCAAATACCTTCTTAATCACATCTATATTCTTCAAGTGGGACTGAACCGAGATATACACACGAAGGAGTGACCGTGCGAACTGAAGCAAAATAGAAACCTTCAAAGTCTCGTAGGAAACCTTCAAAGTCCAATTTGGCTTTAAATCCAACTCAAATGCACTTAACCGCGACTTAGTGTACACGCGAACTATCCGCTATGGAGATAGTATCTCAATGTTGAAATTTGCTTTTGTGATTAAATTTTAATTGATTTGAAAAATATAGTTAACCGTATAATTGAAAAT